GACTTTCGCTTTCTTTCGTTCAAAAGATGTTACTGTAATCGCTTTTCGAATGGTTTTCAGTTGTGGGATTATGAGGCTAATGATAAGATAGAATATTATTGTAATACAGTACGGTACAAAATTTTTTTAAGTGAAAACCATTCGAAAAGCGATTACAGTAAAATCTTTTGAACAACGAAAGAAAGCGAGTCATTGTTTTCGTCATGATTTTATCCCACTTTCCACTGTAATATGTACGTCATTTCAGCCAAAATATTACATTTCCATATTCATTTCTGAGAATATATTCATTCAGGCGCAGTTTAGGTAAAATATACGTGTGATGTAATAGTTTTTCAACTGAAAACGATTCGAAAAACACGTACCCTATAGCCCTGTTCAAGGAGAGGACTGGGAGAAGCTGTTTGGTGCTGCAGACGATGACAAGGAAAATGATTTTGATGGATTTTAATGAAAATATTCAGAAATATGGTATCGTAGTATTTATTCAAGTCAATTAGGATAGAATATTATCGTAATACAACAGTTTTTAAACTGAAAACCATTCGAAAATCGATTACGGTAACATCTTTTGAATGAAAGAAAGCGAAAGTCATTGTTTTCGTCATGATTTTATCCCACTTTCCACTGTAATACGTACGTCATTTCAGCAAAAATATTACATTTCCGTGAATGCATTATACCAAGCACAGTATGAATAGAATACCATTGTAATATAACAATATTTTAACCAAAAACTATTAAAAAACGAGTAACTTCTCTTGAACATCGGAAGCTTAGGTAAAATCTTTTGTTTTCGTCATGTATTTTACCCTATTTTACATTAAAATGTATCACGTTTCAGCAAAACTACTATTTATTTCCGAGAATATATTCATTCAGGCACAGTTAAGGTAAAATATACATGTGATGTAACAGTTTTTTAACTGAAAACGATTCGAAAAACACGTGTACCGTCTAGCTGATACTCAACAGCTGGTGGTGCGTCATGCGTCGTTGTAAACAATAGGAGGTTGAAGTAAATTACCGGGTATTATATTAAGTGTGAAATATCGAAAAGGTTTTTATTACCGGTACTTTTTGTAAATCAATGAGAACTGTGATACCGTATAAGATATGATAAGTTAGCCTGCGTTAAGAACTTCAACATAGACTACTGAAAGCACGTTGTAAGGTAATTTAGCCTTTTGTAAGTTGGTGAGCTTAATTTGCTGAAGGAACTGCACAACTTTTCATTACTAATTGGTACATATTTTACGTTTCCATTGTTTACTGGCAGTAAATGGTAAATATTTTTCATGTCTGAAGCTAAAAGTTGCTCCTCGCCCTTTCCATCATGCACGGGTTCAACCTAACAAAACTATTACGCATGTATAGGACGACCCCCAATTTTTTGCCTAAAAATTTGGTCTTAAAAACTCGAACTATACACGAGTATATATATATATATATATATATATATATATATATATATATATATATATATATATATATATATATATATATATATATATATATATATATATATATATATATATATATATATATATATATATATATATATATATATATATATATATATATATATATATATATATATATATATATACATATATATATATATACATATACATATACACCCTGCTTAACTAACACCTGTTAACGTCGAACTGCCTTCCATAGGATCTTCAATTCGGTTAACTAAAAAAATTTGGTTAACGAACCGATCTCAACATTTTTGCTTGCACTGACCGGGCAACCAGCTTTAGTATCAGTCCGCCAATACATTAATCGGTTCTAGGGCTTAAATTCCTTACTATTTTAGTAAATATCAAGAAGTTTATACTATTCAATAATTTTAAAAGTTTAATATTCAATTTTTTAGTCATTTTAACAATTATTGAACATAATTGAAGGTAAAGTGACTAGTTTAATGCGCGGCATCCAGCCTCTTAACACAGCAAACAGGAGTTAGTCTCTCTCTGTTTTCACTGGAGGTAACATCTTGCTTGAGACTCTCTTCAACTAAACGCTTTTTTTCTGTGTTTCCAAGCAAATTATTGGTCATTTTGAAATATATTTTACATATTGACAATATATAATGCAGTGCAGTGTTGATTTAAAGAAAATAATCTTGAATTACACCAAGAGAGCTAAAATTTTATGGGTGAAATGGCGCCATGGGGTGACTTCTCTTCCACCCCAATGCCTTCTCTTTTCCTTCTCCTCCACCCCCATTCTAAATCCCATCATCATCATCATCATCCAGGAGCCTTCTACATACACACCTCAAAGTAAGTGAACTTTTCTACCATTTTGTTGAATTTAGAAATTTTCGTGAGCTGGAACCAATTATACACAGTGACCCTCCGCTAATCACTCAACTGCTCCAGAAGGTCGTCGCTCATTAACCCAAAGTTCGTTAACCGAAACCATTGTTTCAATGGGTTTTTGGTACTGGTTCCAGCTCACCGAAAATTTCCTAAATTCTATATATATATATATATATATATATATATATATATATATATATATATATATATATATATATATATATATATATACATATACACACACACACACACACACACACTTGTCCCTCGGTTAACGAACACAATTCGTTCCAGAAGGTCGTTCGTTAACCGAAACCATTGTTTGAATGGGATATTGGGTAATTGGTTCCAGCTCACAGAAAAGTATATACAAAGTAAAGCCAAAAATGCATAAAGTCAGAAACACTCCTAAAATTCCTTTAAATCACTATATATATCGTACATATACACTAGAACTCTTAAATCACTACTGTAATGTGATACAGGTGATTAATTTTACCTCTTGTACAAAATATAGGACGTTTATATTCAAATTATTCCCTGTCTTGCAAGGATTTCAGCAATGCAAATTATATTATCGTGACTTTAGTCTGAGATATTATATAAAATAAACACCTTAAAGCATAAAGAAAACACCAAACTTTTGTCTAGGAACGCAAGGAGAGAGGAAGTCAGCGAGCGTGGGAAGAGGGGAGCGGGAGGTGAGGTGACAGATAGTGTCTGGTGAAGTATAATTTGTTTATTTATTTGAGATTTTTGTTTTTAGCTCATATAATTCATAGAAATTACCCAGCCAGAATATAATTTACATTGCTGGAATTCTTATAAGATAGTGATTAATTTGAACATAAACAAGCTAAAATTTGCATTAGACGTACAAATTTTAGATCTAATTTAAGAATTTTATTAGGGAGAGCAAAAATTTTATCTTTTGTGCAAAATATTTGACGTTTATATTCAAATTGTTTCCTGTCTTGCAAGGATTTCAGCAATGCAAATTATATTATCCTACCTTTAGTTTGAGGTATTATTTATTTTTAAACCTGTAAACCTAGTCCTTTTCCCCAAATGTTTCTCAGGAAGGTGGGAGGGAGGGAGGGAGGGGTGACATGTTTGACAGTTGGTGCCTGTGGTGTGAAGTATTTAATTGTTAATTTATGTCCTTTAGATTGAGTTTTTGTTTTTTGGTTATAAAATTTAATGGAAGTGACCGGGGTGAATTTAATTTGCATTGCTGGAATTCTTATAAGATTGTGATTAGTTTGAATGTAAACATAGAAGAGATAACTGAATTGGCTGAGTACCTCCTTAGTTTATCAGCTGATGTTCAAAATAATTTGTGATTTTCGTAAGGATTTCGTTAGTTGATTTTTTTCGTTAACCCAATTGAAGATTCTTATGGTAGGTAATTCGTTAACCGAGGCATTTGTTAACTGAGGGACCACTGTGTATGTATATGTATATATATATATATATATATATATGTATATATATATATATATATATATATATATATATATATATATATATATATATATATATATATATATATATATATATATATATATATATATATATATACATACATATATATATATATACATACATATACATATATTATTATAAGTGACCCTGTTAATCTAACTCAATCCGCTTCCAGAAGGTCGCTTCGTTAACCTAAAAGTTCGTTAACCGAAACCATTGTTTCAATGGGTTTTGGAATTGGTTCCAGCTCACTGAAAATTTCCTAAATTCAACAAAAATGGTAGAAAAGTTCACTTACTTTGAGGTGTGTATGTAGAAGGCTCCTGGATGATGATGATGATGATGATGATGGATTTAGAATGGGGTGGAGGAGAAGGAAGAAGAGAAGGCATTGGGATGGAAGAGAAGTCATCATATGGCGCCATTTCACCAATAAAATTTTAGCTCTCTCGAAATTCAAGATTATTTTTAAATCAACACTGCACTGCATTATATATTGTCAATATGTAAAATATATTTCAAAATGACCAATAATTTGCTTGGAAACACAGAAAAAAGCTGCTAGTTGAAGAGAGTCTCAAGCAAGATGTTACCTAGTGAAAGAGACTAACGCCTGTTTGCTGTGTTATGAGGCTGGATGTCATGATAAACTAGTCACTTTACTTTCAATTATGTTCCAATTGTTAAAATCACTAAAAATTGAATATTAAACTTTTAAAAATTATTGAATAGTATAAACTTCTTGATATTTACTAAAATAGTAAGGAATTTAAGCCCTAGAACCGATTAATGTATGGGGACTGATACTAAAGCTGGTTGCCCGTCAGTGCTGCAAAAAACATGTTGAGGTCGGTTCAGAAGATATTCGTTAACCTAATTTTTGTTCAACCGAATTGAAGATCCTTATGGAAGGCAGTTCGTTAATCAAATTAACCGAGGTGCTAAACGAGGTCACACACACACACACACATATATATATATATATATATATATATATATATATATATATATATATATATATATATATATATATATATATATATATATATATTACTGTAAATGCTATACACACCTCCATTGGAGTTTTTAACATTTCCTCTTCTTGAGGCTGATCCTCCTCCTGTCTATCAAGAGAATTAATAATTCCTAAAATAAATTTTATACTGTAAATACTATACACACCTCCATTGGAGTTTCTATCATTTCTTCCTCTTCTTGTGGCTTATCCTCCTCCTGTCTATCTGCTGGTGCTGGTGCCTCTCTGGCCTGCTCCTGAGTACCAGCATCAACAATCTGAGCATCAAAGTGATCCTCTGCCTTATCAATAGGTTCATACTCAGAGTTCTTCTGCTCCACGTGATCTTCAGCATCCTGTAGTCAACAAAGTAATATTAATACTTTTAAAATACTGACAAAACTTAAGAATATACTGGTAAAGAAGTTTAATAATTTTGAAGTCTTTCAGGCCCTTTCCTGCTATATTGTACAGAAGTAAATTTAATTACCAAAAAACTTATACTGTATACTTAAGAATCGTTGCAAAACCTGAGCTAGCACACAAAAACATAGAGGTATCCGAGTCACCTGTTCCTGGGCTCGAACATTAACCCTCAAATGGCAGGTAAGGATTTCCTACTCTGCCCCTATAATGCAAACATAGAGCCACAAGGAACATGAAACATCCATTGTTATTAACCACTGTCCCTACAGCTAACATGAACTAATGTTGGTTGCTTTATAAGGAAGGGTTAAAGGGAATGCTATTTCTGGCTTAATGTCCTTTGCCAAGTGACTCTTTGTTATCCAAAGCCAGCTGAAAAGAGAGTAAATGAGGTAAAGGAGTTCCTCACTATACGAGTCATCAATATCATTGGTTTCGTATTTACAAGGCCAAATTATTGTTGAACTAAATGTAAAAAGTACCCGCACTTACAAGGATTATGAGGAATAATATCCTTGGATGCGAAGTCTCAAAAAGGGAATAATCCAAAACTCCCAGTGCTCATACCCGTGTTTCAAACTTACTCTCAGTAGTCTGCCCATTGCAAGCAATGCCTAACCTGTGAATTTCTATTGTTGTTGTGAGCATTCTTGAAATATCATTGCTATTATTTTAGCTACGAATTCAAAGCGTAATGCTAGTTTTTGGTGTAGGTGCTTTTAATTTTGGTTGATTATGATGATATTCCTGTCATCAAGCAAGGATCATATGTACATCAATTCTAGCCCCATAACGCTCTTCTATCCTTTCAAAACTTTCAACCCTGTACACATTTTCTCATATTTGTCTAAATTTTCATGGTATTATTTCTCCTTTACTTCTTTCCATTTTGCCTTGAAACTGATAGTACTAAGAGATCTAGTATTGCCATTGAATAGTCCAGAGCGATATGTTTGTTTTTGTCTTTGGTTTTATGAATAAAAAAAATTCAAGTTCGGTTGAATTTTTTTTCAAAATATCAAGATTAAATACTCAACCAAAAATAAATCTTACAAGGTAGAAAAAATTGGACTCTGGAGTTATGTCGAGGAGGGGTTCTTCCTGTGCTGAGTGTTTGTTTCATTGAAATTGGTACAAAATTGGCAGAGAAATTCCAAACTGAGTGATGGAAAAGTTCATTTTGAGATACAGGCCGATAAAGTTTCTCAACCTTTCTCCCCCGTGTAAGTGCTCATTCTGAGCCGATTTTACATGTAATATCTTGTTTTTTGTGTATTTTTACATCTCCAACTGAACTCCAGTTATATTCTTAAGTGAAGTAGAGGGTAGGGGACTCCGTGGGGTGAAAGGAAGGGTTGGGCTGGGCTACCACAGGTGTCCCACGAGACGGCTGTTACCGTCGCTATTTTAGAGAATATATTTCCTTTCATTCTCTTGGATTTAGCAATGCTCTTGGCATGTACTTCCTTTAGTTGTCTTTTGTTTTGAATCACATGCACTCCTGATATTCGAGGAGAGAAGCCTGATACAGGTCCGAGACATACTGATGACATGTGTTTCTACCACCTCCCCTATAATCGCCAGAGAGGAAGAGAGTTGCCTGAAATGAATTTCTAGTCTTTTTTTGTGCTATTTATTCCATATATCTGGGGGAAAATATTTTACCACAATCATTCATATGCCTACCCAAGGAAGGCTGAAAATGGGGGTAAACCATACATAACTGCATAAATATTATAAATATTGCCATAAAACTCCGTCCAGATACAGCCACAGGCAACACCTTTGCCCGGGAATTTTTTTTCATATTTTATGATTTTTTTTTTATCGATCTAAGCGGGACTCTCCCCTTAAAGGAAGCATAGGAACTATGGACTGTACATGAAATTAGATGAGGTGAGTGTGTGATAGACATTTCACTTGCTCTTCAGATTCCCGAGTATAAATGATAAAAGGCTTAAAAATAATCTTTTTGAGTGTTATTTAGAATCTATTGTACCAATCAAACCCTATTCCCATTATTCATTATGGTCAGAAATTCCGTACTTTAAGTGGTGATTTTCTGGTCCCTATTAACTTTGGATAATGAGGAACTGCTGTACTACAGGTTGAACCTCCCTAATCCGGTACTCTAATGTCCGGCACCTCCCGTCGTCCGGGAAAATTTTAGTTTGCCGGACGGCTGCTAGTACCCACCAGCACTAGTGTCCATAGTTCGGCATACCCTTTGTTTACATCTGGTCCGCGTGGAGTTTGGTGTGTTCCTAGGTATTTCAAGGGTTTCTGTAAAATTTCACTTGTTATTTACCCTTAATATGCCTCCTAAGCATATTTATTTTATTATTTCATTTACTGTACAGATATTTTGTTCTTCTTTACAGGTGAACGTCACAAATTTATGTACAGGTACCATAACTATTTTGTAATTTCAAGTGCAGAATGAGAATTATTGTTTATCTATTTTCATTTATTACAATAACACTGTACAGTGGTCCCTCGGTTAACGAGTGCCTCGGTAAACAAGATTTCGGTTAACGATTTACCTTCCATAAGATTCTTAACTTCGCTAACGAGCAATCCCTCGATTAACGAGTTTTTTACGAGCCGACTTCAACATGTTTTCGCTTGCATTTGGTGGTCCACCAGCTGTAGTATTAGTCCGCCAATACATTAATCGGTTTTAGGGCCTAAATTCCTTACTATTTTAGTAAATATCAAGAAGTTTATACTATTCAATAATTTTAAAAGTTTAATATTAACTTTTTTAGTCATTTTAACAATTATTGAACATAATTGAAGGTAAAGAAACTAGTTTCTGGCGTGCCATCCAGCCTGTTAACACACCAGACAGGCGTTAGTCTCTCTCTGTTTTCAGTGGAGGTAACATCTTGCTTGAGACTCTCTTCAACTAAACGCTTTTTTTCTGTGTTTCCAAGCAAATTATTGGTCATTTTGAAATATATTTTACATATTGACAATATATAATGCAGTGTAGTGTTGATTTAAAGAAAATAATCTTGAAATACACCAAGAGAACTAAAATTTTATGGGTGAAATGGTGCCATGGGATGACTCCTCGTCCACCCCAATGCCTTCTCTTCTTCCTTCTCCTCCACCCCCATTCTAATTCCCATCATCATCCAGGAGCCTTCTACATACACACCTCAAAGTAAGTGTACTTTTCTACCTTTTTTGTTGAATTTAGGTAATTTTCGGTGAGCTGGAACCAATTACCCAAAAACCCATTGAAACAATGGTTTCGGTTAACGAGTTTTTTGGTTAACGAACAACCTGCTGGAACGAATTGTGCTCATTAACCGAGGGACCACTGTACAGTAGAACGTGGATATAACACGAGATATGTTCCAAGAGAGGTCGCTTTAAACCGAATTCACACTAAATCAAAGTGTTGTTTAAGTGGAATAATGTAGTTTGGTACTTGAGAGAAACACAAAATACTAAAAAGACTGAGAGTCTACCCAGATGCACCTCAGCCCATCTCCTAGAATTAACAAAACATTGTTTTTGTAGTATTATGTTAAAACAAACACTCATAAATCAACACAGCTAAAATTATGGGATGTGAAATGGTCTGTTTACTGGCTGGAAAGATGGGGGGAGGGAGGGAGGTGAGGTGATATGTTTGACAGTTGATGCCAAGGTCTATTGCTTATTTATTTATCTCTCCTTAAGAGTAACTTTAAGTTTTTCTCTTATAAAATGTCACTGAACTGACATGGGAGAATATAATTAACATTGCTGGAATTCTTATAAGATAGTGATTAATTTGAATATAAACACGCTACAACTCGCATTAGACATACAAAGAGCATTTATATTCAAATTATTTGCTGTCTTGCAAGGATTCCAGCAATACAAATTATGTTCTCCTAACTTTAGTCTGCAACATTATATATGATAAAAACTTTAAGCCTAAAACACCAAAAACCCTGGCTGGGAAGAGGGGAAGGAGGGGGGGGGGGAAGGAAGTGAGTGACATTTTTTAAAGTTGGCACCGAAGGTCTAGTGAAGTATTTATTTGTTTATTTATGTCCTTTAGCTTGAGTTTATGTTTTTTGCTGATAAAATGTCACAGAAGTGACTGGGGAGAATATAATTCACATTGCTGAAATACTTATAACATAGTGATTAATTTGAATATAATCATGCTATAGTTTGCACAAGACAAAAATTTTAGTTATCATTTAGTACATGTACAGTACAACTTTGCCCTTAGGACAGTGTAGCGTGCCCAGAGAAACATTAGGAGCAAAATTTAAAATATGATGCGCCATATTGGCGCATCAATAATACTATGTATTTTACAAAGACCATCTGTAGTTCGGAAAATTCTATAGTCCGGCACCGGTCAGGTCCAAAGGGTGCCGGATTACGGAGGTTCAACCTGCATTAAAGTTCCAAGACTGGAGATTTACAAATCTTAAAAGCAAGAATTGATTATAGCTACTAACAGGTAAGAACTCTCTTGCCAGATGAATAAAGTGTTATTGTGGATCCTTCTGTGAAATTATTCCTACAGAATCCCTAACCCCCCAACAAACAGCTGATTATATGTCTCCAGCATAGGTGATGTTTGAAATCTCTCACAATACACTGGTGGAAGCCAGGAAAAAAAAATAGAAAACACTACCACCTAGTGTGACCAAAAAAGATCTAAACTAACAAAAAACCAAAATGTTATCAGCACTTCCAAGCATGCTCGGGACACGAAGTAAGACAGACAATTGGATTTCTCTTCAGTGAAACTAACATACAAGTTCATATTGGGTCATTATGTACGGTCCCCCCAAAAAATTATCATTAGATTTTCCATCATAAGTTGGAATGCCTGCTCACCATATCAGCAACAGCTAGAGATGGGGGTGGAAGTTGTCCTTGTATGGTATACAGTACTAGATATATCAATATGACAAGAAATCCATTAAGCTATATTAATGTACGTATGTATCGTTCAAAAACGTATACAGTGAATTCTCGAAGATCCGGAATAAAAGGGGGGACCACCTGTTATACAGAAATTTTCCCCCTTGAAAAAGCCATAATTTTGAGCAACATATTACTGTACTCATTTGTACTACACAAAATAACTTCTTTTTTTTTGCCAAATATGTAATGTCTATACTCAAACTATTCACAAACTTGCAAGGATTCCAGCAATGCAAGTTATATTCTGCTAAGTTTAGTCTGACATTCGATGAGATAAAATCTTTAAGCCTAAAACTACCTTCACCCCTAGGAAGGGGGAGGTGAGGTGTTGACAGCCAGGCGGGGAGGTGAGGCTATTGACCAGCAGGTGGAGAAATTACCCAGTGTGTGTAGTAGTTATCAGTCACATAGAGGGAGTTTAAGTTTTTCACTTATAAAATGTCACTGAATTGACTTTGCAGAATATAACTTACATTGCTGGAATTCTTGTAAAATAGTGATTAATTTGAATATAAATATGCTATAGTTTGCACTAGACTTAAATTTTTTTTTAATTATTTAGTACATTTGCATACAGTACAGGTTTGCCCTTTGGACAATTATTTCTTTATTCAAATTATTCGCTGCCTTGTAAGGATTCCAGCAATGCAAATTATATTCTGCCAATTCTAGTCTGACATTTTATAATATAAAAACTTAAAAGCCTAAAACTACCGTCATCCTGTTTTAGGAATGCTTTTTAGGGAGGCTTCTTAGCCCAGAACCTCCATTTTTTTGTCCGAATCTTCCGAAATCCGGATCTTTGAGGGTTTACTGTATTCTCATTCACGCACAAAGGTCGCGGATGTTGACTAACAACCGTTCAGAAAGATGTGATGCACCCTCTGCAGACAAAAAACCTGAAAACCTGTCCCACTCACACCACCTTGTTAACCCTCCTTTACAGTTCCCAGGCTACTGTGATTTCAGATTTGCCCCCGAGGGGGCTAGTTTATTGGGCACCCCCCTTACATCCTGTCCTAGGCTACTGTGATGTTGTCATATATCTGATTTTCTAAAACATATATAGCATGGAAGGTTATCAACGATTTATCAAGATTAAATAACATTGTGGAACTGGTTGTTTTCTTTATAAGAAACTTTACTGCATTTATCTACATTATTTGGAGACTGATAACAAAAATATAAATCAGCACTTAATTGCCTTGAACTTAACCTATAGGTTTCTGCTAATGTTTATATTTATGTCACACCACTAGCAAGATGTAAGCGGTGATATATCAACTTTAACCCTTAAAGCTCGGGTGACGTTTCTATACGTCCACTACAGTGACCCTGGATGATGTTCTTTTACATCCTTAATTTTCGCGGCATAGTTTGAATGTCCAGGCGGGACGAAGTACAGTACTTTGTATAGGATATTTATTTGCTTGGCAACTCAACCCCACATAATATTGATTTCAAGTCCAGTGGTCCAGTTACCCACCAGCTATCACAATGTCTCACTCCTCCACACCCTCAATAATAATGCTTTTCCTCAAGAGTTGCTAGATTTAAGTGGCATTGATATAGTATTGGGTGAGGAAGACAGTGATGGGGAGGAAACAGATTATATGGAGTTTGTTGAGGGGCCAGCAGTGAAGACCATGATACAGACAATGGCGCTCATTCCCACTCCCCACCCCACCCCACCAGCCAACCTCTCAGCGAGGTCGTGTGCCATGGTAACTGTGGATGTAGGGGACCACATGCACGCCAGCCACAACAGTAAACGTTAAGTGATTACACTAAGTTTAAGCCTGAAAAAAAAATAAGCCTGAAAAAAAAAATCGCAAGGGGTCCAGTAATTAAAGATTTTTTTTTACTGCAAAATTCTTTTATTACATTAATATTAGACATAAACCTTAATATATTATCAGACATGAAACCTGTGGCTATCAACTTTGAAAGAGTGCCCCTGGATTTGTCCTACTTGATTTGTCATAAAGTAAAATACTCTCAATGTGTTTCTATACATACCTCTTGTTCTGGCAGATTGTTCTCTGATCTCTTTTTCCTCATCTCTTTGGTCATTGGCCCGTGCTGCATTTTCTCTTGATTGTCCCCTAAAAATTAAAGACATCATTTTGAATACCAGTACTGTAATGGCAGTCATACCCATGGGACCCACTTTCACTAGACTGCATAGGTTGCACTCTGTACACGCTATATTATAACTTCTGTGTATTATAACAGCTCTCAAGTGTCCTACACAGCCTTCTGGTGACATTACAGCAAGTAAGAAAATAAGAAACGTTTCAACCTCCATTTGTCATGTCTACATGGCTGGTTGCTGTGCACCATGCCTGTGTGTTTGCAAATTTGACCATCACCAACTATTTCCACAATATTTGCAAGGTAATTTTACCCTTTTCAAGTATAGACAATGTCATTCTATTCTGAATGTAAGTGCCTTCCTACTTTTAAAAGCATACATTTTGTTTATGAACTTGTACTCTAAGTGGAATCATTCATGGTACCGGAACCTAACCCCATATTACTGTACCCATAGAAAGTTAACTTTGCTAAAACATAATTCTGCTCTCTCATGAGCCCACTTCTTATTGAACCTCAATTAATTGTGAGGGACCACTGTATAAATGTAGAGCGACAGTGATGGTTAGGTTTAATGCTTACCTAGTGTTCTATTCTCATCAACTGTCCCAGGCTTACGGGGCTTCTTCATGTCATTCTGATCATTAGCTGAAGACTTGGTAACCAGAGCAGATGATTCGCCTTTGTGTGCATCATCACGGGTGCGACTCTCGGACTGCCCCACACCTTCTTGGTCATCTGTTTGCTCACCTATTTGACCTTGTTCTTCTTGCCTTTCCTCTTCATCCTCTTCATGCTGCCCACCCATCTTGGATTTTGGTTGTTCCTATTTGGAAAGTAAAAAATGTGGAACTTCATAAAACCTGATTTATACTAAAATCTGGATAGAACAGCTCAGTGAATATGACTGCTGAAGGCCTGGAAGCCCTGAGCATTTGGCAGCTTGGACAATAATCTTAGATCACCCCCCCCCCTCAACCTTCCTAGAATGACTTTCAAATTCCAAACAATGGAAAACACTGTCATCATTTTATGCATGAGTGTACCCCCCCCTTTCAGTTTTTCATTTTGGCTACTGAGTGTATGTGTTGCCTTGATCCTTTTCTGTCACTTTCTACACACGTCTTACACCAGTGTCCCTATATTTTTCTCTTTCTTTCAAGTTTGTGCACCCCCTGAGCAATCCCACATAAAAGCAAGGGTGAAATAAAGATAACAAAGTAGTAGACTGACCTTAGTTTCATCCTTGCTGCCTTCTGTTGTGTCCATCTCTGCTGCCTCAGCTGGTGTCTTGCTGTCTTTGTCTTGAGAAGCTTCAGCAGCATCTTCATTTTTTTCTTCCTTCTCAACATCGTCTACATTATTTCCTTCCTCTGTACCTTCCCTGCGTTCATCTTTCTTTGTTTCTTCTGAATGTTCATCATCACCATTTTCAGCAATTTCTCCAGCCTGCTCTTCCCTATTTTCTTTGTCTGCATCGTCTTCATCTTTCTTATCATGTTCTTCTGCTTCATTTTCTTGTTCCTTATTATCTTTCTCCTTTGGTTCACTTTCTTCTTCAGGGAAAATGCCCATTTCCTCCATCTCCAAGGGATCGCATTTTTCATTATCCTCATCTTCATTATCCTCCTTGTTAGCCTCAGCATCTAAGTTTATATCATCTGGTAAAACCATTTCTTCTTCTTCCTCTTCATTTTCCATGTCAGCTTCACCACCATAAGGGTCAGTGAAGTTATCATCATATTCATTTCCATCTTCCACTGGATTTTCCTTTCTAGTGTCTTCCATTTCCTTCAATTCATTCTTCTTTTTCTGGTCTTTGTCTCTCTCTTTTTTGCTCTTATTGTCATCTTTAGCCACCATTTTGGATTCAGTCACCTCACCATCACCTGGGCCATCTTCTTCATCTTGTTCTTTGCTGTCATCTTCATCTTCATTTCCATCTTCATCATCACCCCACAACTTTTCATCAAGTTTATCTGCTCCTTTTTCAGTTTCCCCCATTTGCTTATCAACATCATCATTTTCATTATTTTCCTCATCACTATCATCTTCATTCTTTTCATTCTGTTCCACAGCCTGCATCTTTCCATCAAAATCTTCATTCATCTCTATTCCTTGATCTTCTTCTTTCAAGTCTTCATCACCTGGCTTCTCATTTTCTCCCTCTTTCAATGCTGATTCAAGTTGATCCTCTGACTCAATACGATCAGACACATCCTTCTGACCATCCCCCTCACCAAGACCTGTACCCTCTGAGTCCTCAAAATTTGTGGCACCTTCGCCTCCAGCCTCATCTTCCAGCTCCTGAGGTCGACAAAAGCCTTTTACAGCAAGTTGTTGAAATATGGCAATTAAAATGGATGTAAACTTTACAATACCTCTATTACTGCAGACCATTACTAACAAAACAGATTCACATATTACTTGATACTGTTCTAAAAGAGGAACAGCAGCTTTCAATTCTTCCAACAAATATGGCTGGTTCTCTGCTCCTTTCATCAATTTTTGTAATCGATTTACAACTTCCTTGATTCTCAGATCTTTCTTGTCAGACTCAAGGTTTTGTACTATACCATGACTCAGGAGGTTCTTCACAAAATCTTCTTCAGTGCTATCCTCTACTGTACCATTACCCGAGCAATGTCTTTTGTAAATATTTTCAACAGCTAACAAAGCTTGAGTCAAGCAATGATCCAGGTGCTTTAAGTCAAGATCATTTATTTCTTTGGATGGAAGCTGAACATCCTTCCAAGTAGACAAGTCATGTTGGGTAGCATGCCATTCTTTTAACCAACATAATAGCTGCCTAGTGAGAGGAAGCTTTCTACCATCATTTACTGAAAGCAATTTAATTACCTCTTGCAATATCTCTGCCTCACTTGAGAGCTTATTCAACGCTTCAGAAAAGAATCTGGAGTATTCAGGAGTTACTAAATGCTGTCCATCTTGGAAATGTCTCAAGTAAGTAGCAAGTTGTTGTGTAAGATAACTAACTCTTGCTTCAGTTTCATTCAGCATTCTCTTTGCATCTTCCAACTGCATATGTTCTAAGACTGCACCATGATCTTGCACCAGCAATAAGGGAGGACTACTGGAAGATGTTCCTAGGAGGATAGAAATTTCTGATAAGGTTAGGGAGAGAGATGTTGCTAATGCATGAAGTTGTTGACAACCACTGAAAATTTTAGCAATTGGTGCTGGATGTGGTTCAACATTTCTCAAATCCCTTAGGAGTAGATGTAACTGCCGAGTGTAGTTACTGATTTCGCCCAAAGATCTCCGTTGGTCTCGAGCCAATAAGAATAAATAGCAAGACACACCACGCAAACGCTTGATAAGCTCAGGACTAAGATCACTATGCGGTTGTTGTAGGGTTTTCAGAAAGAGGGTGAGACGACTAATACAACGGTTCAAGTACTTAATACATCCAGGCCATGCCTCTTGTGCTGTCTTCAGAGATATTATACCAGGGTGAGCAGTGTCAAGGTCCATAGGTGGTAAAGAAAAACAAGACGCGATGTCATCGTCATTCCATAAACTGTTTCCACGGGTGTAAGTAACACCTAAAGAAGCTAATGTCTTGAACAGACGAGCCAGAGTATCACGGCGTCGTTGCATAACACTGCGTAGCTGTTTCAACCGTACCTCTGAATCTGAGACATTCTCAGAGCGAGATGCAGCAGCTTGGAGCTCCTGATAATTTGTGATAATATTGGTACTGACATCCTCAACTGTGTTTATATAAGAAGAATAAGGAAGTTTAATCAGTGTTCGGGATGCCAGTTTGTGGTAGCGACGAGTGAGAGCTCCGAGTCGACATAACACTGAGTTACCTACTGCCCTGCTTGTGTGGTCTACATTACCAGGAACTGGTGGAGCAATGGGCATAACAGTTACTTCATCAATAGGCTCTTTATCCCATGCTCCGGTATGATCTTCTGCTAACTCTGAATTGGTATTATAAAGTAAAGAGGCAATGGACTGTCTCAATTTTTTCTCCCAATTGCGCATGTGACGATGAAGAGTACGATGACTCTTTGTTACAGATTCACGCACGGCAAAGTAATTAATATCGTTCCAACGAGCAATCTTCACATAGCCCTTTACTTCCTTATCAATTGGTTGTCTAGCCTTCGAGAGAGTAGAGGTCACTAATGGTAAGAACTGTACATAGAACTGATGAAGATTCCACGTGAGGGCCAGCAGTTGCTCAGTAACATTACTTCTTTCCAACACAGCAAGGTTACAGTGAAAGGCATACAGCAACTGAAGACGGGTTTGGAAGTCACCCAATACTGAAGTTTCCAAGAACTGTTTCACAGTCTTGGATATATCACTAAGGGAAACAGTTTCTGTAAGAGCTGCCTGGACTGTATCATGTAGATGTGGCCACCATTTTTTGCCTTCAATAGCAACTTTGTGTGTCACAGAGTCTAAACAGGAGCGCCAAGCATTTAGCTCGAGTTGTCGCCATTCTAATATCTGATGTGTAACAGCCTCAAGTTGATCCATCATTGAAACTCCTCTATGAGCATTTTTCTCCCACTCCTGAGCCTTCTCTAGCACTGTTTCAAGCCCTATCACATGTCTCATGAGAGGTGAAGTCAGAGGGAAGGCCAACACCCTTGTTATAACAGTATTGACCATGAGCAGTGATGGATGAGCAGGCCACAGATTAAGTAGCTCATCTACTCGTCCACGTACTGTCTGAAGTAATGGACGAACTTTTAAGACTTCTTGGGGATTGGGGTCTCTATAGATGTCATAGGGATGGGTAAAGAGCTCAGGAGGGGTTGCACCAGTCAAAACAGTACAAGAATTATAGTTGCTAAGAATATGAGCCCCCAATGTAGAATGATCTAAATCACAACCTGCAATACCACCAGCTGTTCCAATAAGGTGATGAAGTACACGCAACCTTAATACTGCTGCTAACACAACTTGTGATGGTGATTGTGTGCTACTGCTAGCAGGAGCTGTACACCAGTGTGTCCTGACCAGAGAAGTAAAGATAAGTCGATGCAATTCACTCACTTCACATATTCGATCATCAGTGACATGTCCAACTGTGACATCTTCAGAACTTCCATCTTCATTACAATCCATTTTCACATCATCATTCAAATTCAAACCATTCAAATCATCAAATTCATGGTCAAAAGAAGGGAAAGCACTATGGAATTCTCGTTCTTGCATCTCATCCTCTGTTTCAGTAGCAGCTATAGTGCGAGCCTTATAACGATACAGACTTTCTTCTTCCTGGGCAAGCAAAGTTCTTTCCTCCTGTTGCTGCCTCCAAGTATTAGCTATCTGACCAAACAATTGTGTAGCCAACTTTATAGCCTGATCATCCAAGTAATGTTGTTTAAGGACCACGTTTAATAGATCTAGGAGAGCTGCACGTAAGATCAAGTTATTGGTCACCTTTGCTTGACTTGAATATTTATCTTCTGGGAGTAAAACTTTTGTGCACTGAGTAAGAGTTAACTGTTCATGTAACAGTTGCAAAGGATGTAGAGGTTCTCGTGGTGCTGGAAAAGTGGAATATTTCACTAAACATTCTGTCAAATCAGTGCCACAATTGAAGCTGATATTCTTAAGGTAGCAATGAGAAGCTAATAAATGCAGAGCTTCACAGGTCATGGTCACAGCATGAAGAAATGGATATGTAAGATCACGGTACAGAGGGTAATGCCGAATAATTCTCTGCACAAAGTTATCGCAAGACGCAATCATGCATTCAACTTTCATTTGTACTGCACTTGGGGCAAGAGTATCTCTGCAAGACTTTAGGCCTGATGAGAGCTCTTGGATCTTCTCATGTGTGAAGACTGTAGAGAGAAAGTGGGCAAAATCTTGTCTTAATTGGTGATATTCAGACACGTCAGGTCGGTGAGCAATCTGCTGAGTTAGGTGAGACACTGCTGACTTCAGGTGGTTACATCTGTCCTTGAAAAATGTTATATGTGGGTGCATCAGGTGTACTGGGGGGCTGTCCAGACAACCACGCAAGCATTCAAACCACTCTGAAAACATTGCATATGACTCTAAATTATCTATTTCTTCCTGGTGGTACTGAAGCAGGAGACTATGACGCTGAGCAGGATCAACAGGCTCTAAGTGACCTAAAACAGTAGCCTGTATGACTCCCATGGCCAATACTGCACGGGCCGCAATGTCTGACTTGTTTGTAAAGTTACTGTCGCATACCTGGAGTTTCTGTATCATGCTGGCCACCTCATACAGCTGCTTCCGACTACTATCTAATACAACAGAATCATTGTCCTCTGCAATCTTATAAGCCAAGCATAAAGCACTCTGCAAGTCATAAGCTCCAATATTGAGCTCTACAGAAATATTCATTGTAAATGCCAGAGCACCCAATGCCTGCGTAATATATGAGGTAGCAGCTTTAGTAAATGTAGCTTCATAACTTGTTGTAGGATCTTCAAGAGTCAACCAGTTGTTCCATAAGGTTGACCGTATAGCTTTCAGTTGGGCAACCTTTTCTACATGTAAACCAGCTGGTACCTGTTCAATTATACTTTCAGTTCCAGTGCCCTGCCTGTTATTACCAGCTAACAAAATGTAAGTAAGCTGACAGGCAGCTGGATGGAGGGCATCCTCTTGTGTTTGCTCTTCCATCATATCATCTTCTGAGACAGATGGTGAATATGTTAAGAAAGTGCGAGTGTGTTGGGTAGCAGTACACTTGCTGAGAGCTAGGTAATAATGAGTGTTAATTACTGGGGAAACTCTGAATGCTGGACCTGACAAAACTGTTGCTATTTCTTTATACACTCCAGGAGCTCCTGCAACCACACCCTGCAAGTGTGGAGACAACACTCCATCTTCTCTCTCAAGTGAGAGGGCCCGGAAAGCTATGTAGTCACGCAAAGGCCAAGTTTGTACTTGGAGAGTCAATATATCAGCTTCCATGGCCTTAAGGGATGGCTCATGTTTGATACATTGTTTTTGTATTGTATCATCTATAGAATTCAGCTGGGAACATACATCCACAATGTTTTCAGCATCACAAGTAGGAATCTTTCCTGCAATATATATCAGCGATTCACATACTTCTATTCCAAGTGGTGATGCTAAAAACAGATTAATTTTATCACTATTAGCAGTAGGAGTTAGACTGGATACAAGGTCTACAAGATGAGAATGAGCATCTGAGGCCTGGTGAAATATGAAAGGAGCAGGGGATATATGCAACCGAAGTCCTGCTGCTAATTTATGGACAGGATCATATTCTCTTTCAAATGCAGACTGCAAATGTTTAACAATTTCTTTTAATTGTTTTGGAACCAAAGTACTCCAGGACTCCGGCATTTTTTGCAGTAATTCCCCTTCAATCCATTGCCAATGAAGCATCAATTGTGGTAAAAATAAGTGGAATTTGGATTTCCTCACTACTTGACAACACAACTGGTACAGGTGGTCATGCCACTGTAGAGCACTTAACACCTGGCAAAATTCTTGGTTTGTGAGTGTTATTTGGGGATTGTTAGAAAGTTTAAGTACCAGTTGATGAATTTGTTGAAGAAGAGGCACTAGGAATGGCACTGCAGCATGTGGTGAATTATTCTTTCTGGCTAGTCCCTCATTCACTGCATGAGAAATTTCCAGTACAGTCATTGTATCCAATTTGCAATTACCATTCAGGTTCTTATTAGCAATATGCTGCTTCTTGTAGAAATTAGAGATTGTCTGCCACACCCAAAGGCAAGATTTATTAGCCAAACTCTCACAATCAACTCCTGTACATTTTGTCTCATTTCCTGTAAGTGCCTGGAGGTCATATCGTGGATCAAAACTATTGCTAGGGCCCAAATTTTCTATTAATGCCTGAGAAGCAGCACATGGTCCACTGGAAATGGCAAACTCTATTGCAGATACTGCTCTACAACCTAGCTGGGCTGAATTAGGAGGTAGACTACGGACTATATGTGATACCCAAGCACAGAGCAAAGGCCAGTCATCCACAGGAATAGTTGACAAAAGTATAATTAGACAATGAAGTATGCCATACTCTGTAGTTGGAAGAGGTCTGGCAAGAGGCAAGACTGCAGATGTCCAAGCTTTGGCAGCCTGTGGGTTTGTAACAGCTAGCAAGATGGTGTGTAATAAAGATCCTGCAATTTTCATCTGTGCTAAGGTACTGCCCTCACTTAACCTACTCATACTCAAAGCCTGATTCTCGTAAGGGGGCCAAAGCAAGTTGGGGATGGTTTTTAACCATTGTATAGCTCCATCTATGGCCACACTAATTGCTTGGCGAATGTTGATTTTGCCCTGGGACCTGTTGAGAAGAACAGCATTAGACTAGTGATAAGAGAAAAATTACATGATTTCTAGCTGTTGTATCACACCACAAAAATTATAGGAGATTAATTAGTTTTTTATTCATGTTATCTCCCAAGTTAGAGGACTTATATCTATCTTAAATTGAATTAGAATCACCTTTATCCCTAAAGGGTTAATTAAAACCTTCAACTTGCTCACAGTCCTAACTTCACAAAGTGTTTTTCTTTCTTCTCTGCACTCTTCATAATGCCTAAGATTTTCTTTACCATATACATCACTCTCCTATTTGTTCTTCCACACATATATCACTTAATCAAGTTGACCTGAAAAACATATTCACTAGAAAAAAAAAAGAGTGATTCCACAGCTGTACATATAAAACTACAAAAATGAACAATTAAGGCACTATAGAAGCAAAGGTCAAGATACTATAGCTCAAGAGGCTGGATGCAATACTCATGTGAATATTGGAAATGTTCTAAACCAGTTCTTTATCCAGTCAAAGATTCGGGTTACATTTAAAATTTTCAATACTGTACTTTGTAATTAATCACATTTACTTCACAACATGCTGCTTTAAGTACTGTACCGTATATGGTACTGTATATAAATTATTATTATAGCACCATAATATTGTATAGTTTACTTTTAATTAACCCCGGACTACCTATACAGTATTTGAATAGAATGATACTTCTACTTTCACGTAAACTACCTCAGCATATCATCGAACAATCACATGTGCAGTTGCATCGTGGGTTCCATTTTCTATTTCTAGATCATGGTAATCTGAACCACCAGAAATTTACTACTGCTCAAAATAAGGGTCCATCAGATAAGGTATCTCGATGGATTTTGACATTATCTGGCATCTGACTAGACATAACCGCAGGGCAACGGGCATCGCTGTGTGATTTCCAGGCAAGGATGGGCATCATCATATGAATAGACTGTATAAACTTTGAACACTGGAATGGATAACATGTCTTATTTACACATCTTTATTTGATTTAGTTTTGAGCATCTTTTAAGAACTTGGAAATTGTCATTAGTGCATATTTTTTGCAAGAATATTATTCACTGTTAATGCAGTTCAATGAGAGCTCTGTCAGTAGCCGAGTTTTACTCAATAAAATTGAAGCCTAGTGTAAGTTATGGTCGAAGATGACTGAATTCATTTTATAGCTCACTAAATCATAACAAAAAAGTCAAATTAAAAAGGTAATCACATGAAAAAAACAGACTAATATTTAAGTTGGAGTAAACCAGTGACAAAATAAAAAATACTGGCTTACTATTTGAAAATTTTACATCATACACACTGTAGCATCCAACTACATCAATTGAAACCTACACTTATGTTTAAAGCCATCAATAATTACTTAGGTAAAGCAGCAAATTGTATGTAGTATCAATAGTAAGAGTACCACATAATGATTAAAGCAAAAAAATAATTCAGCAAAATCTCACACTGGCACACTTTGGGTAGCTATTTGTGGAAAGAGACTAGCTTGCAATCAGTGGCATAGCTAGAGGGGGCTGGGGAGGAGGGGCAATTGCCTTCCCCTCCCACCAACCATCAAAACGAATTTTGTTGGAAAATTTCATATGTAAGTGAAAGTCCAGTATCATGGGACCTACTAATCCGACAGCTGTCATCGGTCCAAACACTGCTAGGCACCTCCCACTCTTCACATTGTGGATCAATAATGTAAATTAAACAACAGGGGGTCAGGTCAAGGTAGGGACTAGGGAAGGGTTAAGCTATTTGGGAATTGGCCAACTCTGTGTCCTGTGGTGTGGATGAGGTCCCTCCTCACCCACCTTTGTTCTCCACAATGTTAATTTGATATGATGTACCGTATTTTGCTGCATGGAAGACTCACTTTTTATTACAAAAATATACCCTGAAAATTACCATGCGTCTTCCACGACGCTAGTTGATGGGTTGTAGCGGAGGTTTTCTTAGGGTCAACTGAAATCAGTCCCTTACAAAGACTGTTACTTCATTACTTAGCAATTACAAGTATTCTCTATACTATAAAACAATTGATTTAACTAATATTGTTGATATACTGCGAAAAATATGATACAGTGGTCCCTCGGTTTACGAACACTTCAGTTAACAAAATTTCGGTTAACGAATTACCTTCCATAAGAATCTTCATATCGGTTAACGAACAAAAATTTGATTAACGAAATCCTTACGAAAATCACGTTTTGTTTTGAACATCAGCTGCTCAGCTGAGGTGGTACTCAGCCAATTCAGTAATCTGTTCTATGTTTATAATCATTTCCAATGGAGTAAATATCAATAAAGTTGTGCTTTATAATATTTATGCATGTTTTCTATTAAAATTATTAGTCATTTTAACATTTACTTAACATATTGATTATATATGCAGTACAGGGAACTAGTTAGTTGTGCACCCATCAGATGCGTGGGTCGGCCACCAGGCGTCAGTCTGGCTTTGTTTACAATCGAGAGAGCAACTATTTTGTTGGTGTCTTGAATATCTTTTGCATTTTTCATTTAAATTATTGGACATTCTGAACTTTAGTTAACATATTGATAATATACAGCGCAGTGCAGTGTTGATTTAAAGAAAATAATCTTGAATTACACCTAGTGAACTTAAAATTTTATTGGTGAAATGACAGCATCAAGCATGGGTCCCCTGAAAGGTGATTTCTCCTCCATCCCCACTTCCTTCTCTTCTCCTTTCTCCTCCACCCCACTTCTAATTCCCATCATCATCATCATCAACCAGGAGCCTTCTACATACACACCTCAAAGTAAGTGTACTTTACTGCATTTTTTTATACTTTGTATGTACTTTTCGGTGAGCTTGGAACCAGTTACCCAATATCCCATTGAAACAATGGATTCGGTTAACGAACGACCTTCTGGAACGAATTGTGTTCGTTAACCGAGGGACCACTGTATTTACTTACTCAGTAGCTAAAAAATAAAAAATAAATGGCTGCAGCTACACAACCCTTGCTGCTGTGTGGTTTGTTTACTAATGGCAGTGGTGCGACAGCGCCATCTATTGAGGAATTGCGAAAGGTTGTCTGCTGGTCTCAAAGTGCAAGAACTTTTGTTTCTTCACACCTGAGTGCCTAGAACTTTGTTCATTCACTACCAGGCCTTCACTGGTGTCACAAGCCATTTTCATTCCTGCAAACTATCTCCCTCATCTATGGCAGGTGTATCAAGGAGACATAAATATAATATCGCATTTAAACTTGAAGTAGTGCGATATGCCAAAGAACATGGAAACAGGGCAACAGAGAAACTTCGGACCACCACCTACTGAAATGATTCGCCAGTGGAGGAAGCAGGAAAAAGAATAAAAAAAAGCGAATAAACAGAAGCATAATGGCCATACTTAGAAGAAAACTTGAAAACTGGTGTCGGTTATTAAGTATAAAAAGTTTTTTTCCTAGAATTACATTTCCAAAATCAGGGTGCATCTTCCACGATGCAGCGTCTTCTACACAGCAAAATACGGTAATCATAGAATTTAATCATGAGTATGATCCATTTTGCCTAGGAATCAATTACAATTACGATTCCTTGGTTCCAAGACGATGGAATTGATCACGATTGGTATGTGGGATGAACAGAAGTGTAATAGAGTTCAGTGAGTAGGAAGAGATATGAAGGAAGACTAAAGGTGTGGCAGAACTGTGGTCATTGTGGGGGGGCTCCATAAAAAGAAGCCTAAACAATGGTATTAAATTAAGGTTTTAATTATGTGGATATACTGTCAAACAACATATAACATTTAAGATGGAAATTTACCGCAGAGAAGTGTGATTCATGTCATAGACCACACTTTACCAGCATTGGTGTAGTAAGAGATAACAATTAATAAATGTTGATCAATAATGAAGCAACTTACTGCAAATAGACAAGTCTCAAAGCCTTGGTAAGAGCATGGTTGGGTTGGTGTCCTTTCTGTATCAACTGGCATGTCACTGATGCTGCTTGCTTCATTTGAGAAATGCTTGGCTGCTCATACACTGTTGAATAATGAATCAGCAAATATTAGTATGTATTTCCAGTATCAATTCCATAGTCTGTACATTCAATACAGCTGTAAGGACTATATTTTGGAAAAACAAATTTGGACGTGGGTTGCATACATTTACAAAAGACACAAAATGGACGTACGTACAGTCTAGTACAGTGGGGTATGCTATAACGAACGGATCCTACTACGAATATTCCTATAACGAACGGTTTTACCTATAAAATTGAGAATGTTATAACGAACGAAACTCCTACAACGAACATTATTTAATTTTTTTTTACTAATTGTTTTTTTTATTACAAGTATTAATGATATTCTTTATTTCAGGGGTTTAGATGCATATTTATGCACTTTTTTACAATTTTATATTATATTTTTCAGTGTTAAGTGGTTGTATTTGGGGGCCTAGAACGGATTAATCCTATAACGAACGAATGCTATAATGAACAAGGTTCTAGAACCAATTAGATTCGTTATAGCATACCCCACTGTACTATACTTGCGAGATATCAAAAGGTAGGTTGTGCTGATTCAGGAAAAGAGAACAACATATGAAGGACAGCTGCCAGGAAGGAGTAATAAAGATAATGGTGAAAGAATGCAATTTCAAAAAGGAATATGAAAAGTTCTGGAAGGACTTAAATATGGTGAGAGAGCCAAAGGCAAGGATAAAAATGGCAATCATTGTAGTACTGAAACAGAAAATATAATGTACTGTAGAAACATATACCCATACTGATTAGCTAATTTGTCATGGGAGCAAAAAAACACCAGAAGCACCCTGCAGATATCATGCCTCAATCCTGTGCTTACACGTTTATTTCGTTGTTGTTGCTGCTGCTAGAAACACCTAATCACCAGTTGGCCACCACACACCACCATGGGGCCAACTCACTTTGAACACCACCAGGCTACCTGATCCTCCCCAACACTTTGCCAGTACACTGTCCATTTCTGAATGACTCATGAATATTTACCAAGGCATACAACCGTGATACAAATGTTTATGATGCTTGATCATTTACTGAATTTTTCTAGAATAAAATTAATTCCATATGAGATCTGTATTAAGGTGTATAAGGAGTAAAATGGATCCCATTAAAGAAGTAATCTTGCAATTAAAGAAGTGTTTACTGTAGGAGATAAAATAAGCTCTAATGTGCTTCTCTATCAGCCTGCAACTGAACACCATCCCTACCCTGCCCACCTCTAACAACTCACTCCATACACACATTTACCTAGCCCTTCAGTTACTCTTGTTAAGAAAAAGAAAGTGAACTACAGTATATACCAGATTTCACTTTTTCAAAATTTCTGAAGAGCTCCAGAGTGCCTCTCCATTCACCAGAAATATTTAAGAAAGTTGGGAAATCCAGCAAGAGTCTGGATGGTTTGTGTGTTAGTACATGTGGTTGAACATCTGTGCATGGGTGTGGGTGGCACGTATCTCAGTCTGAGTCCTGCCTTCATATGCATTGTATCAGCGTGTCACAACTCGCACTATCTACCTAAATAATAAGAGAATTATGGTGAGATTGCATAAAGATGTATTACCGGGATCTTGGTGGAGTAAAAAAAAGGGAGCCACCCACCAACGCTACCCACCCCCCTCCGCCAGCTGCTCCCAGATACACACTCCTTTCCCTCACACAAAATACTGCTACACTCTTATTTTTATCTGTACAGTATAGTACAGTTTTCTCTATTTATAAGGCAAATTCTGAGGTTACTTACATATAATATTTTACAGTGTGTAACAATCATATCAGTGAGAACAGTTGTCAACAACCAGACTTATTGTGATTTTCACCCCAATGTTTTCTATACAGTATCTCATATATTTTTGATGTAATAATGATTTACCAGTGGTGGGCACAGTTAAACGAAAAGTTAGCTTCGCTAACCGCTAATCTGCTAACTAAAAAGTTAACTTCGCTAACGCTAAACAGCTAAAAAATTGGCAGAAGCTAACGCTAACCGCTAACTTTTATTATATGAATTTAGCTTCGTTTCTTTTTTTTTTGGGGGGGGGGCCTCTAAAACCCTTAAAAATAGACCTAGAGCTGAAATTTTCATATGTTGTCTTGTAGCTTAGACATAGAGCTTTCCAAAAAGGTATAGCATGACAAGATCAGATGATGATCAAGGTGTACACAAATAATTAAATGAACAAATTGAATTAGTTTACATTCAAGTTTCAACATACACTTTATAATCTTTATTTACTGTACGAAAAGACAAAGTATTAAACAAATCCGAAAACTATAGTACTGTTTAGCATAGGTAGCAAATAGCATCATGCCAAGATCAGATGATGATCAACTTATCAAGGTGTACACTGTACACAATTTCACAAATAATTAATTTGCAGTCTCATACAACCTATCGGCCTTATTCATTATTCATGTAAATATGCAATACCAACCACATCCACATTGTACCAGTGCATTTTCATATAACTTATTGTTGGTCTTAGTCATGTAAATAAACAGAAAACTCTAAACTTTACACGTACTGACACGCAGTCAGCCAAGCGTGCCTGACTGGCTGTTGGAGACACGCGTCGCGGCGTCACACGCTTACAACAGACAGGAACAAACATGTATAAATTTTGTTAGCGGACTTAAAGTTAGTGGAACTAAATTTACCGGACGCTAATTGGTCCGCTAATGGTTCCAAAGTTAGCAAAAACGCTAATCCGCTGACAAGAAAGTTAGCTTCGCTAATTAGCGGTTAGCGGAACCGTGCCCACCACTGTGTTTTACCAGCCTTGTCTTGCACTTAAAGACCTGAGCTGTTGAAGCACAGTAATAACATTATAATAACTTATTTTCTTGAAACAGTCCAGATAAGTGGCATAATGTCCAGACCCCATGCAGTACATAGATTTGCCCTTTTCACTCAAAATTTTTGCTGGACTGGGGTTTGCCCCAATTAGTCCGGTGTATCGAGGTACTACTGTATGTGTCAGTAAGTACAAAAAGATTAGTGTCTAATGAACTTATGTGTGAGGAAAGCGCGACAAAGGTGCTAGCAGAGTTTAGACATCCATGTAGACCTGTGTCTTGTAAATGTTAAATACCTGAAATATTTTATACGTCTTCCATATATATTACATACAGAATTTAGTAGGAATAAGTTTAATTTAAAACTACAGTATACACAGTCTATATACAGTACTGTATATGCCAATTAGTAATAAATAAAACAGTTACTCAACTCAAATGTGGGGCAAAGATGGTGGCAGGATTTGGGTGACTATGGAGATGTCTACATTTTTTTGGCAGCACAATACTATTGTTTTTGTTATGCTAATGTGTTGTTGCTGCTGGGCAGTGAGTAATTTGACCATAGTTTCAAAGAAATATTGTAAACACAGGCATTTATAAACACATACAATACAGTACATTAAATAATTCATGATATACATGTAATATGAAGAGAAATACAGTTGGAATAAATAAAAATATTGTACTGTACTCACCACAAAAGATGTTGACTGCTTTAGGCTTTTCTCTGAGGGTGAATAACTCATCCAAAGTTGTTTGACGTTTACGGCGCACCTTCTCCTTGTACAGCTCAGTGTAGGAACTGAGAGCATTGTTAACTGCTCTTGCAATCTTGATGTTCCTTTCATGGTTGGGGTCGTTATCAGCAAAGATTTGCAGACCTTCCTGTATTAGTGCAAACCCTTTAGACATATCCTTTGTTGTCAACTGAAGTGGGGTGGGTGGAGATTCTATATCCTCTTCTTGTCCTGCAGCTCGCTCTTGTTCCAACACCATCAGATCTTCATTAGTCAAATCTTCTCTATGGGACTCTAGCAACTCAACCACATTATTTTCTATGATTTTCTTCAAAGCCTACATCATTTGCAAGTGTCACAATGTCTTGTTGAACTTGCTGTAGATTTTCAGCTTGTGAAAACCTTTAAATTCATGGACACACTCTGGCCATATGTTTTTCCATGAACCATTCATAGCTGAGGTTTTCACTTCATCCCATGACTCGGCTATATTATCCACAGCATCCAAGATGTTGAACTTTTTCCAGAAGTCCCTAATTGTAGGTTTATCCTCCCCATCAATTGCTTTTAAGAGCTGCAAAAAAGTTTTCCTAAGATAATATGCCTTAAAGTTAGCTATCACACCTTGATCCATTGGCTGGAGCAAGGAAGTTGTGAGCTTGGGGATGTACTCCACTCTCACATTATCAGAAAGATCATTTAAATTTACTGGGTGGCTTGGTGCATTGTCTAAGAGGAGCAATGCTTTATTAGATATGTTACGCTTGGCATTATATCTTTCTACAGCAGGGCAAAAATAGTTAGTGAACCAGTCTTGAAAAAGGGTCATAGTCATCCAAGCCTTCTTATTGGAATGCCAAATCACAGGTAGATTAGACTTGGCATAGCCCTTGAGAGCCCTTGGATTTTCTGAGTGATACACTAGTAGGGGCTTTAATTTCATGTCACCTGAAGCATTTCCTCCCACAAGAAGTGTTAAACGATCTTTGGATGCTTTAAAGCCTGGTGCTGAATTTTCTTCAGTGGAAATAAAAGTTCTAGCAGGCATGCACTTCCAGAAAAGCCCAGTTTCATCAACATTGTACACTTGTTCTGGTGTGTAACCTTCATCAATAATTTTCTTCAGCTCAGCAGGATATTTATTAGCAGAATCTGTATCAGCAGTGGCAGCTTCACCGCTCATTTTTATGTTGTGTAAATTAAGGCGCTTCTTAAACCTTTCAAACCAGCCTTTACTAGCCAGAAAAGGTTTAACCTCAGAAGATGCACCTTCCTCTTCCTGCAAATCATTATATAAACTTATGGTTTTCTGTTGAATAACCATAGTGTTTAGTGGCACATTGCATTTAGTCTGATCTTCAATCCAGACATTCAGGAGTCGTTCCATATTTAGCATCACATCACTTCGATGAAAATACAAGGTTCGAGCAGTTAATGGAGTAGCTGCTTGAGCACTTGATCTTATTTTGTCCTTATTATCACGGATTGTTCCCACTGTTGAAGTAGCAAGACCTAATGTTTTTTCAATCTGGCTAAGTTTTTCTCCAGCATCAAACCTTCTTAAAACATCATGTTTAATATCCAATGTAATGCCTTTGCGGCTTCTTTTTGCACTACTGCGGTCACTTCCACTTGATGGCCTCTTTCCAGTCATCTTGAATAAGGGTAATGCACTGTACAGTGAGTTCTGCTATAACGCGTGTTTTGATAACGCGAATTTGCTCTAACGCGATTTATGAATTCGGAACAATATTTGTATAACGCGAACGCTTGTTTGCTATAACGCGATTTTGGCTTACTATTTCTCCAATTTTGTGGTATTAACTGTGAATATGGTAAAGAAGAATATCTCCAAAAAGCGTTCTGATGATAGAATTCCCGGTGATTATCGTAAAAGAAAGGATATAACACTTGAAGAGAAGCTCGATGTTATCAACCTCAAAATCACCCTTCTCCCCCATCAAGTTACATTCATATTTTTTCAAGGTAAAGTGTTAAATTTACTGTATGATTTCATTATTAGATATGAATGTAACATTTATTTAGACTGTGCTATCCTTTGTGTTAGGCTAACTACTAAATTTTTTCGATTTCGAGTAATCTGCACCTAACCCTATTTTCTCCATAAGCCCTGTTATTTCTATTACGCGATTTTCTATAACACGATATTTTACAAGAACACAATTATCGCGTTATAGCAGAACTACCTGTACCGTACTTACTGTATGTTTGTAAAAGTTAAATCCAACTGCTGGGGTGCAAAACATGCGCACACACTGGATGTAAACAATGGAGTGACTCCTCGTGGCGATGCCATGCTTGGCAGTAGCAAACACCAAGAAATCCACACAAAACAAATTATAATTTTTAACAAAAAAATATAATTTTATAGTGATAATTTTTTTTTAATTGTTAAAATTTACCCTAATTTTCGTAAGGGTGGATTTACGGGCCGTAACGCGAAATCATTGGTCATAATTTACAAATTCCCTAAGAGCGAAATTCCGTAACCCGGGCTTCCGTAATGTGGGGGTTGCCTGCATATAAAAAGGCAAGCACGCTGTATATGTGTAAAGTTTATATTCCAAGGATGATCGAAGTATCACAGTAATGAAGTTACAAGAACCTAACCCTATATTTCATCTATTCTGTACAACTGATACAAAATTAACAGTGAATAGAACACTTCAGAGTGAAAGAGTTTTAAATGATTGGAAAAAAAGTAAGTTGGGGAATGAAAATGTAGCTGAAAGATTTAAAAAACCAACTGAGATATGAGATATACAAGTATGTCAAAATAGGGTTAAAGGGTTGAAGAAATGGGTACACTTCAATAACGCAAAAGACCAGCTGTTATTAAGCTATGGTGTGGGGGATAAAGGAAAAATTATTGGACAAACATGAAAAGGGGAAGGGTGGGAAGAGAGGTTGGTAATGCTAATTAAGAAGAGCACTTCTTTAAACTTAAGTACAAGAAATTTTATCATTACATAATTATAATAAGTTTCAGTGAAACCTACCATATATGCTAAACATGAAGAGATACTAATGTATACTGTTATTTGGTCAATGGATATAAATACAAACACTGACCAGGGAGGAAATCTGCAATAGCTCGATGGGTTTGAACAAGGGCATTTTGCAGATGAGGGGATGTCAGACCCCCCTGCAACAGTAGAGCACATATATCTTGAGGAATCTTCCATGACCCTACCATGCAGATCTCTAAGCCTCGATTTCTCATGGCCCTGAAAATAAACAGTACTTTTATGGTTTTACAAGGATGATTACAGCATGCACCATTTAGCAACACTAACATGTATAAATACAGGAACTGTACAGTAAACCCTTCAAATACCAGATTAATTTATGCAAGTTCTGATCCATACTGTGAGGATTCCATAAAAGGGAGGGTTTCCTTTTTATTCTTGTGTACAGAGGCATTCATAAAGTAACACAGTACAATAAACCTTCCAGCATCATTCCCAACCATCAAAATGCACATCTTATATGGTACACTTAAGTATCAGAAATACAAAATGCTTGGGACCAAGAGGCTTCCAGAAATTTGAAAGATCTACAACAGGAACCCAATATTTTGTAATTTGCTTTATTCGGACTCCGAGATGCTCTGGTCACCAGAAATACTAAGAGGAAAAAAATAAAATAAACAATTTAAGAACTGGGGAAAAGTAAATATAAAAAAATCTTATGAAATACAGTGAACCCTCACTTTACGCGGTCAATTGAACCCATGGAGGCCCGCGTAAAGCTGAGAAACGCGTAAAGTGAACAACATAACATATGGGATTAAATGAAATAGAGACCAGCTGACCCCCAAACTCCACTTTTTCCGACACAATGCCTATGTTCTAGTAAAAATAACATCTTAATTTTATGATGGTACATGCACACAATTAATACTTAAGAGAAATAGAGAAATACACTCACCAAGTTAATGTCCATTCAAATAATGGACTCGACTCCCTCCCCCTCTTCTCACACTACACTCGCTGGCTCTTCCCTCTCTGAGAAATTTTTTGGGGAAAACCACTAGATTTTAAGGTATAGTAGTAAATAATACCTCAAACTAAAGTTAGGATAATATAATTGACATTGCTGGATTCCTTGCAAGACCAGGAATATTTTGAATATAAATGTCATATATTTTGCACAAAAGATAACATATTTACTCAGAGTAAACAAAATACTTACATTAGATCTAAAATTTGTATGTCTAATGCAAAATCTATGATGTTTATATTTAAAATGATCATCAAATTGTAAGAATTCCAGCAATGTAAATTACTGTATATTCTGGCCGGGTAATTTGTATGAATTTTATGAGCTAAAACAAACATCTTCAGTTAATAAAAAAAAAAAAATTCTTCACAACACTATCTGTCAATCAAAGTACCCCACCTTGCCTCCCCCCCTCTTCCAACCACGCCAGATGGTCGGTCGGTCCCAACCCTCCCCCCACCTTCCCTACCTACCAGAGAAATGTTGGGTGAAAAAACTAGATTTTAACTTTTAGTAATAAATAATACCTCAGACTAAAGTTAGGATAATATAATTGACATTGCTGGATTCCTTGCAAAACCAGGAATATTTTGAATATACACTTCATATATTTTGCACAAAAGATAACATATTTGCTCTGTGTAAACAAAATACTTGCATTAGATCTAAAATTTGTATGTCTAATGCAAAATCTATGATGCTTATATTCAAAATGATCATCAAATTGTAAGAATTCCAGCAGTGTAAATTATATTCTGGCCGGATAATTTGTATGAATTTTATGAGCTAAATAAAAAAATTATACTTCACCCGCGTAAAGGGGTACACACACCGTGAGCATCCCGGGTTCTGGCAGGGTACTGGAAACGCGGAAAGTGAGGGTTGACTGTAAACAACACTTACTGAATACAGTCACTCCTCGACTTACGACATACTCGACCTACGACCACCCGGACATACAACCGCCCCAGTCGTACCAAAATTTTGTCAAATTGCGTATTTTCGAGTCCCAACATTAGTGATTGTGCTGTGTACTGAAATTTCTTTCGTTTGTAATTCACTTTAAAATGATTGGCAAGCTTAAAAGTGAGAGTATTGTGGTGCTGAAAGGAAAAAGAGACAACCATTTTAGATTTTCTATGTATCATTTAAGCATTTTCGACTTACGACCTGGATTTGAGTCCCTAACCCCGTCGTAAGTCGAGGAGCAGCTGTACTGTAGAGTGGTCTAATCTGATTTGCTATAAGCCTACTGAGAAGTAAGACACTTGAGTATGTAAGCAGGCTGGGGCTGATCTGGTGTTGTCACATTCTTCAGGTTTATTTATTTATTGATTCAGTATTATATTCTCATATGATTGGGCTCTTATGGTTTATGGTTCATCAAGATTAATATAACATCTTCAGTAATAGAGAAAAAATACAATACTGTATGTAATTTGTAATATGACTTGAAAATAAAAGGATAAGCTGTATTAGAAGTTTATTTACTCAAAATACGTTCGTGTGACAGCTTTCTGCAGACTAGCTTACAACAGGGGTCACTATAACACACTGTACAGTATAGTATTTGATACGAAGATACCTTCTTAATAATGATATTTACTACCTTTGAGTGTTATATGCTGAATCAGTTTGGCTACTTGGAGACTTTAAACAAATGATTAATGAATAAAAAACTGGGTATATGCATATACATAATATTTTATACTACAATATATTACTTATTAAGTAATGATAAATACACTACAATAGAATTTATTAAGTGGTGATAAATACACTGCAACAGTACAGTGGACCCTCCATTAATGAGTGGTTCGATCTACGAGATTTCAGTTAACGAGTTACCTCCTGTAAGGTCTTTCAGTTCTATTGACGAGTACAAATTCTATAAACAATATCCTTACGAGAAACATGTTTTGGTGCACGCATCAGCTGATCGACTCGTCCGCCAATAATCGGTTCTCCATTTAGCTTTGTTTCCAGTGGAGTAAGCATCGAGAAAGTTGTGCTCTTGAATATTTTTTTCATTTTTACATTAAAATTATTGGTCATTCTGAAATTTAGTTAACATATTGATAATATACAGTGCAGTGTTGGTTCAAAAAATAATAACAATAAATGGAATTAATTAAATAAATTATTGTGAACTTAAAATTATATTTGTGAAATTACCAAGCAAGGGTCCGAAGAAATCTCGGAAGGCGATTTCGATTCAAGTGAAACAAAAATTATTAAGAATCTGTCACTCCAGAGGTTTCTAACATTATTATGGAAGGTGATTCACCTTCCAAGAAGCATTAAAATGCTTCTCTTCTCCCTTCTCCTCCACCCCTACTTCCAATTCCCATCATCTTCCTCCTCCTCCATCTTTCAACTCGACCAGCAACATTCTACATACACACCTCAAAGTAAGTGTTAAAATATTTTATTGTTTTTTATTTATTATTGTACAGTATACTGTACAGTACTGTATTTTGTTTATATTTAATATATTTTTAATTTTATTACCAGTATACCTGTACAGTACTTTGTATGTAGTTTTTAATTAATTTAAAAGTATTTTGTGAGTTGGAACCAATTCCCCAATATCCCATTGAAATAATAGATTCAGTTAACAAGATTTTCAGTTCACGAGTGACTGTGGATCCAATTGTGCTTATTAATGGAGGGATCACTGTATTTATTAAGTGATGATAAATACACAACTGTACTGTACTAATTTACTAAGTGTTGAAGACAGACATTGTGGTAAGCCGATCAGCTGTTTGCTCTTTGTAAACAAATGAGTATGAAATGACTCATGTTCAGTGTGGGATTCTTTTTTCAGGAAAGCCGATTCTTTTAGGATAATATTTTATCAGCCTGGCATGAAATGATCCTAAATTTTATGTGAATTATGGTGGAATTGCATGAAGAAGTGTTAAAGGAATCTTGTGGGAGTTAGGGGGGAGGGAGCCACCCACCCATGCTACCCCTCCTCCCCTCTGCCAGCTGCTCACAGATACACATTCATCTTCCACATACAATATACTCCTACACTTATTTGTTCTTATTTTTATCTTTATAGTATTGTACAGTATACAGTTTTCTCTTTATTCATAAGACAAATTCTTCGGTTACTTACATATAACATTTTATGGTAAATAACAACCATCTCGGTGACAACCAGACTTACATGTCTGATTTTCAACCCAGAGAGTTGTTTCATATTTTTTTTTTAATGTTGATGTAATATTCTTATAGTAACCTTGTTATACACTTAAAGAAATTAGTTGCTGAAGTGCAGTAATAACATAACAACCGATTTTCTTTAAACAGATGAGATAAGCAGTGTTATCTCCAACCCCCCTCCTCCCATATACAGGTATTCGCCTTTTTCGGACTGGGGTCTGCCCCAATTAGTCCGATTTATCGAGGTTCTATTTGTACAATAAAACCTTGATAAATCGGTCTTCAATATATCGGACTCTGAGGTGCTCTGGTCACAAAAAGGAACATATTTTAAGAAATGGAGGAAAAAAAAATAATAATAACATACAGTGACCCCTCGTTTAACGAACACCTCGGTTAACGTAATTTCGATTAACGAACTGCCTTCCATAAGAATCTTCAATTTGGTTAACGAAAAAAAATTCGGTTAACGAAGTTCTTACGAACCGACCTCAACATGTTTTCGCTTGCACTGACCGGGCAACCAGCTTTAGTATCAGTCCGCCAATACATTAATCGGTTCTAGGGCTTAAATTCCTTACTATTTTAGTAAATATCAAGAAGTTTATACTATTCAATAATTTTAAAAGTTTAATATTCAATTTTTTAGACATTTTAACAATTATTGAACATAATTGAAGGTAAAGTGACTAGTTTAATGCGTGGCATCCAGCCTCTTAACACAGCAAACAGGAGTTAGTCTCTCTCTGTTTTCACTGGAAGTAACATCTTGCTTGAGACTCTCTTCAACTAAATGCTTTTTTTCTGTTTCCAAGCAAATTATTGGTCATTTTGAAATATATTTTACATATTGACAATATATAATGCAGTGCAGTGTTGATTTAAAGAAAATAATCTTGAATTACACCAAGAGAGCTAAAATTTTATGGGTGAAATGGCGCCATGGGGTGACTTCTCTTCCACCCCAATGCCTTCTCTTCTTCCTTCTCCTCCACCCCCATTCTAAATCCCACCATCATCATCATCATCATCCAGGAGCCTTCTACATACACACCTCAAAGTAAGTGAACTTTTCTACCATTTTTGTTGAATTTAGGAAATTTTCGGTGAGCTGGAACCAATTACCCAAAAACCCATTGAAACAATGGTTTCGGTTAACGAACTTTTCGGTTAACGAACGACCTTCTGGAACGGATTGAGTTCGTTAACGGAGGGGTCACTGTATTTGAACTGTAAAGAAAATCAATTGTTATTTTATTACTGCACTTCAACAACTAAGGTTTATAAGTGTGTGTAACAAAGATATTCACATTAAACAAAATTTGAAACAGAATGCCAAACTATTTTATTCAGCTCAGATGAGAACCTGTACACAAGGGGTTAATTGTTACTAAATGTCTTTTCTATAAAAATATGATGCATCATTTCTATTTGATAGTTCTAATAATTTTGCTTTCAACATACCGTGAGATCTCTCCATATTGAGGGTCCATGGCAAGGAACAGGCGGAAATTGGAATGTGGTGTGACTGATGGAACAGCACCATCTACAACACCCCTTTCGCTCAGGGTTAACACACCGCCAGGTTCCAGCACAGCATTAAGCCTGTCCAGGACTGATGCAGAGCACAAATTCACACCATCCACAAGCAGCCACTCACCATTACATATGGCCTGATAGGAAATATAATTCATAGTGTATAATTTTTTTATAACATTTAGTAAATATGCTTACAATAATTCTAATGATAAATAATATTTTATATCATATGGTGTCCATTTTTCTATGAACAAAAATAATTTTGGGGGGCTTGCCAATAAATAAATAAAAATAAATTAGGTGTTGAAATATAACCATGTAACAAATTTGATAAAAGTCTTGGGTACACACCTTGACAAAAATGGAATCAACCCAATGAAAAGTACCACCTCCAGAGAGTCCACCAGCTTCCTTCACACACTTCTGCAGTTTCTCTACACGGCTGCATAATTCTATGACTTTGATGGGTGCTCCTAAATTTTCACATGTACCATTTACTTCAAGATCCTGCTGCTGCTGCTTCTGTTTAAAAAAAAAAAAAAAAAAAAAAAATAATAATAATATACAGTGGTCCCTCGATTAACGAACGGTTCAATTAATGAAATTTCAGTTAATGAATTCGCTCCCATAAGGATTTCTAGTTCCATTGAAGAACAAAACTTCGATTAACGACAGCCTTATGAGAACCACGCTTTGTTGTGCGCATCAGTTGATCGGCTAGTCCGCCAATACAGTAATTGGTTCTATGTTCACATTCGTTTCCAGTGGAGTAAATATCAAGAAAGTTGTGCTCTTGAACATTTTTTAATTTTTCATACTAAAATTATTAGTCATTCTGAAATTAAGTTAACAAATTGATAATATATACAGCACAGGGAACAGGTTTTGTGTGTCCTTCAGGTGATCGAATCACCCACTAACGCTTCTCAGTTTAACTTTGTTTACAGTGGAGTGAACATCGAGTTTGTTGGTCTCTTGAATATTTTTGCATTTTCACATTAAAATTATTGGTCATTCAGAAATTTAGTTAACATATTGATAATATACAGTGCAGAAATTATTATGAAACATGAAGAAGGCACTAGAACCAATGCACTCTGTAAAGAATATGGCATGTCATCATCAACTGCCTCTACAATCAGCTGTTTGATATGTAAACAAAGCTGCCAGGAATACGACATACACACCTCAAAGTAAGTTAAAATATAGTATTCTATTGTTTTTTATTTATCATTGTACAGTACAGTGGTCCCTCGGTTAACGAACACAATTCGTTCCACAGAGTCGTTCGTTAACCGAATCTATTATTTCTATGGGATATTGGGTAATTGGTTCCAGCTCACAGAAAAGTACATACAAAGTATAAACAAAATGCAGTAAAGTACACTTACTTTGAGGTGTGTATGTAGAAGGTTCCTGGTTGATGATGATGATGATGATGGGAATTAGAAGTGGGGGTGGAGGAGAAGGGAGAAGAGAAGCATTTTAATGCTTCTTGGAGGCAATAATTGTAGACACAGTTTATGCCAACATGCCATATTCTTTACTCAGTACATTGGTTCTAATGCCTTCTTCATGTTTCTTAATAATTTCCTGTTTCACTTGAACTGAAATCTTCTTTCTAGATTTCTTTGGACCCGTGCTTGATGCAGTAATTTCACCAATAAAATTTTAAGTTCACTAGCTGTAATTAAAGCTTATATTATTTAAATCAACACTGCACTGCGCTATATATTATTAATATGTTAACTAAATTTCAGAATGACCAATAACTTTAATGTAAAAACGTAAAAATACTCTGTATTCACGAGACCGACAAACACGATGTTTCCTCCACTGTAAACAAAGTTAAACAGACGCTTTGGCGGGTGAGTCAAGCGGCTGATGGGCGCACAAAAAACTGGTTCCTGTACTGCATATATTATCAATACGTTAACTAAATTTTCAAATGACTAATAATGTTAATATATAAAATGCAAAAATAGTAAAGAGCACAACCTGCTTGATATTTAATCCACTGGAAACGAATGTAAACATAGAACTGATTACTGTATTGGCGGACGGGCCAATCAGCTGATGTGCACAACAAAACGTGTTTGTTGTAAGGAATCCGTTAATCCAAGTTTTGTTCGTTAACCAAATTACCTTCCATAGGAATCTTCATTTCGGTTAACGAAATTCTTATGAAAATGTTTCGACATACTTTGGCTTGCTCACCAGCTGGAAGATTAGTCCGATAATACAGAAATCGGTTCTAGGGCTTACATTCGTTAAAATTGGAGTAAATATCAAGAAGGTTGTACTATTCAATAATTTTCCAAGTTATATATTAAATTTTTTTTGTCATTTTAACACTTATTTAACATAATTGCAGTACAGGGAACTAGTTTTTGGTGTGCCCATCAGCAACTTCACTTACCCACCAAGGCCTCAGTTTGTATCTCTGTTCAGTGGAGGAAACATCTTGCTTGTGGGTCTCTTGAACACAGTATTTTTACGTTTTTACAGTACAATTATTGGTCATTCTGAAATTTATTTAACATATTGACAATATATATATATATATATAGTGCAGTGCAGTGATGATTTAAAGAAAATAATCTTGAATTACACCTAGTGAACTTAAAATTTTATTGGTGAAATGACGGCATCAAGTATGGGTCCCCTGAAAGGTGATTTCTCTTCCACCCCCACTTCCTTCTCTTCTCCTTTCTCCTCCACCCCCACTTCCTTCTCTTCTCCCTTCTCCTCCACCCCCACTTCTAATTCCCATCATCATCATCATCATCATCAACCAGAAGCCTTCTACATGCACACCTCAAAGTAAGTGTACTTTTCTGCATTTATTCTCTTTAAATATACTGTATTTGTAAATGGGGTGATACAAGAGTCTTTCCTGTAAATGTGCTAACCTTGTGGCTTGTGGTCTTCGTGCATCTTATCTCTTCAGTGGTTGTGAGTGTGCCAAGAAGAACCAACAGGAGTTCACACTGGTGGTGGAAATGTGCCGTCTCTTCAGATGTTGTCCTCCTCGTCTCTAAGTAAGCCAATGGTCAAGTTAGGTCAAGACGTGTGATGTGTGGTCAGTGATGACCTGAGTGATCCTGAACTGAACAGTTGACATGTACTGGTGAAATTTCAGAGCTTTTTAAGTAAAGGAGGAACATAAAGTACCTAATAGGGTAAATGAGAAACAGAGTTATTACAAGATAAAAAAAAAAAAAACTATTATGACGCCACGAATTTTCTGTAATTCATGACCTACTGTATTTATTTAAGAATTATTTCCAATGGCCTCACTTTTACGTGAGTAAAATATATAACCATGTCATTTATTTCAATGCAAGGATGGTACAAGAAAGTTTACATTATTGTAAATTGTAATACAGTCATGCGCCGGTTAACGTACAAGATACGTTCTTGGAAACGTGCCGTTAACCGAAATGGACGTTGTCCGATCATCACAAACTTTTTATTTATACTTACGTGTATGTGGAATACTATATACGTACATATACACTTTTTCTCTTAAACCACTACTGTAATGTGATACAGGTGATTAATTTTTATCTCTTGTGCAAAATACATGACGTTTATATTAAAATTATTCACTGTTTTACAAGGATTCCAGCAACGCTGGGCAGTTGGGGGAGAGGGAGGGAGGGAGGGAGGGAGAGGGCTTGGGGGGAGGGGAGGTAGTACATTTGACAGTTGGCACCGGCCCAAAGTCTGACGCGTGTACCTGTATATTTATCAGTTCTTAAGTGACTAAGCTTCTCTCTTATAAAAAGCCAGTGACATGACCTGGGTGAATATAATTAACATTGTTGGGTATAACTGTATATATTAATAGTGTAACTTAAAAAATTCTCAACCCTTGCCTAATTTCAAACTTTGCCTTTAGCATTGTGCTTACAATAGCTGCAGCACCAATATAGCAATTATAAATGCAATTAACCCCTACGCCCCAGTTGACGTTCCGGAACACGCGCCTTTTCGCGGCATTGTTTGAATGCCCAGCGCGGGTTGTCAGGTTCCAGCGTGACTACTTGTGTGTCACGCCACACGCTCAGCCACAGGGAAGCTTCTGGGATGTAATTACCTACTTTTGTTTGTTTCATTTTCATTGTTTGTCCATTTTATCATGTTACTGTATATCAAAGTAATACGTATTGCTAAAAGTAGTGTAGTTGTATTGTAGTGTAGTATTACCGGAAATTAATGCTATTATTATGTTATAAATGTATTTATTTGTGGAATTATTATTCTGATAATTTTTTCTATGCATTACTTGCTCTCCCAAACACAAAGACAGATAGACAACCTGGCGACAGACTGTGTGTGTGTCGCCGAGCACTTTTTATGAAAAATAATGCAAATAAAATATTTATAGCAAATAATTATTATGATCAATAAAAATATGCATTACTGGCCATCCCAGACACAATGGCAAGCAGAAAATGGCCGTGAAGTGCATACGTGACCACGAGTACTCGCATCAAAACAACGCTGTCCCCTGATCTCCCTCACTTCGCATTGCCATTTTCCCGCCACTGCTCTCCCAGGGAATTTTCTAGAGGGTCAATATATAGTTTTTCTTACTTCTTTTTTATTGTTTTATCATTTAAAAGTTAAAAATTATTTTTGGAAAAGTTGATTTTTCTCAAATTACCCTGTGTGTAGCGGCACCTTAGCTTGGGGCGTAGGGGTTAAGCAATCTAGCCTGATTCTAAAGTCATAAACATCATTTTTGGTGGGTTTAAATGGTATTATTTATTTCCCCATTTTCTGCGGGGAAAAAAAATGTCATGAACCACAAAACTCAAATTATGTTTATCCAGTTGGGATTTGCCAAACTTGAAATGAACACTTTACCTTTTATGAACAATAAAATAAAAATACAGTGGATAGTTCACATCTAAATCAATAAAAAAAGAAGTGGGGGAGGGATCTGACAAAGATTTGTGATGATGCTGCTGTGTGAGTGACAAAGTTTAAACTATCTCTTCCACCACCACAACCACCTATACTACCAACTACCACCTACTTCAGCAACCATCTTCCCCATCAACTATCTGCACTGCTAACAATCTGCACCACTAACCACCTTCACTGCCAACCATGTACATCATTTACACCACCAACCATGCAGGCCATCACCACACCACTCTCCCCATCACTATTTCTGGGCAAACTCTACACACTACACCTAGTGGCCTATACCTCCTGGTTGGAATGCAGTACTGTGCAGAGATTCAAGATGCAGACTACTGACAACTGACCATTTATGGCTAGTTTTCAAAGGACTGAAGCACAATGCTCCATTTTATGACTGAGAGGAAGGAACAAGTGGCCTGGTGTCCTATTTTAGTGGGGATATATATTGGCAGAATCTGAGGACCATGACTGTGAACTTTAGATGAGTTAAAGAGGTTTGAATATGTGAGCGAGTTTACTGTGGGTTTCACCCCCCTAATCTCAAGCCTCACTGGAACTTCAGCCAACCATTGGATCAAATGGAATAAAATGTTCAACCCAAACCCAGTGAGCACAAAATGGGATTACAGGATTAATACTTCGTTCATCATAGATATATAGTCTAAAGTCTCATGAAAGCATATAATTTTTTACTTAATATCATTATGAGTGATATTAAGTGATCCATACTTCTACACAGTCACCCAAAATATAGTTAAACAAGCCTTATTCCTCCAACCATATGCTGAAACCTGCATGTATAAATTAAACCTACTGTCATTGCGGGCAGAGAGAAGATTATCCCAGGTTGACAGAATCTTCTTAGCTTGGGATTCCCTTCCATGCAAAAGGGCCTTTCTCAAAGCTGCCCAGGCAGCATGACCAACATCACAGACAGCTTCACCCAGGACCCGCCCATAGTCAATCTGCATACACAAAAGTAAAACTTTGAAATACATTAAATTAAAAAACTACACCGAGTTTAACAAAAAGAATTATAATAGGTGGTGGTAATGGGTTAACTACAGAATGAATAGTTATGGAATCCCAGGGATGAACCCCCCTGAGAGCAGAAAATGAAAAGAATGAGGCATAAAATTCCTTTTTATTACAGGAGATAAATTATTAACCCTGGGGTTTTGGCAAATATGGCCCAAGGTCACATCCTGCCCAACTCGGTGTCTAGCAACTTTGGAAAGTTTATAGTTTTCCAATCCCAGAAGGAAATAATTTTAATTGTGTCCTTAACATTAGTGGGAGTTGGACAGTCACAGCAGCAAGACCTGGCCGGATCTAGCTGAATACACTTAACATGACCTTCAAGACCCGAACAAGCCATATCATTTATATAATTCTTTATAGCAGCTATAACAAAACAGCCAAAGGAGTAAAGACATTTTGTTCTTGGTCAAATATAACTACAGATGTCTAGTGAACCAGAGAAAATTTTGTTAATGCCTAATTCTTGCAACCTTCCAAATGAAAAGAAACTACAGTTAAATACAGTATTGTTTGAATGGATATTACTCTAGTTTTATTTATAAAACAAACATTGTGATAATTCACCCCTTGATCAGACTTATGTAGGGTAAAGTATTCAGCATTATACCTTATGAAAATAACTATACTGTACTACATGTAACATCTATATACAATACACTACAGTACTGTATATTCTTTCTAGTAAATAGTATCTCCAACCTGCTCAAAGCCACCAAGGAGTTCCGTCACATCCATATCAGAATTGACAGTGAGAGTAAGGATGCGATGACCTGTCAACCTGGCTAACAGCTTCACTAGAGATGTCTTCCCAACTCCTGATTCACCAACCTGAACAAAAGAAATAGTTAAATACAATGATATAAATATCATAATCAACTAGAGCTATTTTGATATTATATAAATGTCTAATTTTATAACTCAAATATAAAAATGTAATAAACAGAAATAGTATGTCCATTGACACAGATGCACAAATTTGATGAAACACATGAATAAATATTCAAAATAATTTTGACTCACCAGTAATGCTTACCCTCAAAATCTGGTGCTCTGCACATTGACTTATCTAAGTGAAGTTTCATAATTATATCAAGAACTACTGATATAGAGTTATCCTCAGGGCAAGGTTTTTACCTTTGGTTTTCCAGTAACAAGTATCACTGATTGTAATTTGATATTCTACACCAACTAAAAATGAAAAATACTCACGTCAAATTTTATCAAAATATCTACATGTTACAAGAGCTCTATCTGGAATATATACTGAACTTTAACAAGCAGCAGTAGCCTTTATTTCTTAAACAAATATCTGAATTCGATGTTTTGCACTGTGTCTCCTGATTACGCATATATACATGGTTCATCAAATTCTTTGCACTGATACACTACAACCATCACACCCCAATAATGTTTTGAGCTGTTGACTTTCCAATGATCTAAACCTTAGACAGACTTGAATTTAGCAATCAGCACTTTGTCCAGTGATGACACACATCTCTATGAAGTCTTGCTAAAACATCAGTAATGATAAGTTAGGCTCCTGGCAATCTTTTGAACTCTGACCCTGATGTTTACTGAAATGTATCACCTAAACAATATGTGCAAAACACAAGAGAATGTTGTTTAAATACAATAGTACTTCAATATACCGGACTAATTGGGACAGACCCGTCTAGAAAAATTGAAAGTCTGAAAAAAGTGAATCTATGGAAAGTGGGGGAAGGGGTCTGGATATAACCCTTCTTATCTGGACTGTTTCATGAAAATCAGTCAAAACTCTGGTGGTTGAGAACTGCATACCAGGTCCTAGAAAAGTTTTTCTTGGAAATCAAGCCATGCAACACAAGTCCCAGACAGACTCTTCCGAAAAATTTGTGCTTTGGCATTATATCTGGACAATATGTGCAAAGAGGAAGGAAATAACCCTAAGAAACAAATAGAGTGTCATGCATAGAGAAATAGTAATGCAAGACTCATACACGGAAACCTGTCATCATATGATGTCCTGAATGTAAAATGGGATTGTGTGCTGGCCTGTGTTATCATGACTTTCACACAAAGAAGTATTGAAATGTTTAGTTTACTCTTTTGTATATATATATGTACAGTAGATATTAGACTAATGCATAAGTGATTAAAAAAAATATGATGCTCAGGAGGCAAGATTATTTTGTAAATATTAGTGTATATTTAAAAAAATAAGCAAGTTTGTGTTTTATGAAAATATGCTAACTACTAAAATACTAGACAGAAACATCGCCCACACATCCTCTCCTCCTCCATGAGTGATGACTCCACCACCTCCCTCCTTCCGTGCTGTCAACATCCTACACCAGCTCACCAGTGAATTTCCTCATATTCTGAGACTAACCACGACCAAACCAATGTAAGGAGAGGATTCATATTTTGGTTGATGTAAAAAATTTAATATTTTTATTCTTTTAGGTTTAAGGTTAATTTTATTATTTGGGGAAAAGAAAATTGGGTTTTTGCCACATGGAGCTCAGCCAGGTAACTAGGTCCCGCACTTCTTGGGTAAAAAATTGCTTCAACTAATTTATCGAGTTACAACATCGCTGTAGCTTAATTAGGCCAGCACTCAGGGTTTTTTTCTACTGTATTGCATACAGTATTATGTATTATATATATGTACACTCACTAAAAGAATATTCTGCACCTTTGCAGGGTTATACAATATGACACACAGAACCCAGAAATCAGACAACACTCACCACGGCTTCTGTCGCAGCGATCGTTGCGGATGGTTTCAGAGTCAAGGGTGTAGAATATTTTTTTGTGAGTATACAGTAACTATTTCGTTCTTCATTTTATTGTAAACAAATCTAAACAAATCTATGTACTATTATGTAATTCCGACATGGGTGGGTGAGCCCACTGCCTAATCTACTTTAAATAATATTGAAAGGAAGGATGTGCTACTGATGAGTGATCATTTTGTGCTAAGTAGCAGGAATAAACCAGATTTGGGTCAATACTGTAGAAGGGAAACACCACTACAAAACATACAGTAAGTCCTCGCTTAACGTCGGGGTTACATTCCTGAAAACGCAACGTTATACGAAACAATGTTAAGCGGATCAATTTTCCCCATTAGATATAGATAAAAAATACGGGAGTTACATTCCTGAGCTTCCCTTTGCCCCAAGAAATACATTTCATATACATAAATTTAAAACTCCTTGTGTGATGCCTGGTGAGGTGCCTGTATGCATTACTATAAAGTCACATTCAATGAGATTTTATTAGAGAAAACTCAAAACTCCTCTACATGACAGATAAATAAATAACCATTAGGTAACCTTGGCCGGCGGGTGGCACCAGCTGTCATAATACATCACCTCCACCTATGAACTTCCAGCAAGATTGAAGGTGGTTTAGGCTTAAAATTTTTATCTTATAAAATGGCACAGACTAAAGTTAACAGAATATAAATTACATAGCTGGAATCCTTGCAAGACAGCGAATAATATGAATACTATAGGCATCATATATTTTGCACAAGAGATAAAATTTTTAGTCCCTTCAGTACATTTGAAGTACTGTATATGTTTTTTCAACTTATTTTTCAGTAGATATAGTAACTTTCTTCATTTATTTTTACTCATTTACATGCATACACCATCCTAAATACATATTGTGAAAAAGGTAAAAAGTAGTCCGTGATGATTCAAAAGACGCTGTACCGAGTCACCGAGACGTTAGACAAATTTTTTGTCTCAAAAGCTTAGCAACGTAGTACCGAAACAATGTTAAGCGGGCAGACGTTAAGCGAGGACTTACTGTACTCTACAACATCAAGAATAAAGGATGGGAAAATGTGTGTGTGTGTGGAAAAAAACAAGCCAAACAATGTAATACATAAAGCTGCTGCATGTTTAGTCACAAGTTGAGACAACCACAACTTAAGTCATACATTATGGTAATTGTGTAATCACATTTCAATATCACACTTTTCATAATTACAATGCCACCAATACCAAGGATTCTATGGCAAGGGTAAACACTAAATCTTGAAACTACAGTAAACCCTCGATAACTCAGCATTCTATATCTCGGAATTTCATATAATTCGCCAAGTACATACAGTGAACCCGCGGTTTCACTTTACGTGTTTCTACATTTATGCGGTACCCTGCCAGAACCGGAATTCCCACTTTACGCGGTGCATCTACTCATACATGCGGGTGAAGTACAATTTTTTTATTTAGCTCATAAAATTCATACAAATTATCCGGCCAGAATATAATTTACATTGCTGGAATTCTTACAATTTGATGATCATTTTGAATATAAGCATCATAGATTTTGCATTAGACATACAAATTTTAGATCTAATGCAAGTATTTTGTTTATTCAGAGTAAATATGTTATCTTTTGTGCAAAATATATGAAGTGTATATTCAAAATATTCCTGGTCTTGCAAGGAATCCAGCAATGTCAATTATATTATCCTAACTTTAGTCTGAGGTATTATTTATTACTAAAAATGTAAATATACTGTTATAACCCAATCATTTCTCTGGTAGGGAGGGAGGGACCCAGGGAGCAGGTGGGAAGAGGGGGGGAGGTGGGGTATTTTGATTGACAGATAGTATTTCGGTAAGTATATTTTGTTTATTTATTGAAGATATTTGTTTTAGCTCATAAAATTCATACAAATTACCAGGCCAGAATATAATTTACATTGCTGGAATTCTTACAATTTGATGATCATTTTCAATATAAACATCATAGATTTTGCATTAGACATACAAATTTTAGATCTACTTTAAGTATTTTGTTTACTCTGAGTAAATATGTTATCTTTTGTGCAAAATATATGACATTTATATTCAAAATATTCCTGGTCTTACAAGGAATCCAGCAATGTCAATTATATTATCCAAACTTTAGTTTGAGGTATTATTTGTTACTATACCTTAAAATCTAGTGGTTTTCCCCCAAAGATTTCTCAGAGAGGGAAGAGCCAGGAGTGTGAGAAGAGGGGGAGGGAGTCGAGTCCATTATTTGAATGGACATTAACTTGGCGACTGTATTTCTCTTAAGTATTAATTGTGTGCATGTACCATCATAAAATTAAGATGTTATTTTTACTAGAACATAGGTATTGTGTTGGAAAAAGTGGAGTTTGGGGGTCAACTGGTCTCTATTTCATTTAATCCCATATGTTATGTTGTTCACTTTACGCGTTTCTCGCTTTACGCGGGCCTCCGTGGGTTCAATTGACCGTGTAAAGTGAGGGTTCACTGTACTGTATATGGCCTCAGAGTTTATAATAAAATAACTAGGAAAATGCAAAGTTATATAAAATTAGATGGGAAAATCTTGGCATAATTGGCCTCGTGGGTAACACTTGTCACGCTGCACTCCACACTTGGTCAGTCTGGTGTTTGTTATTGGTGTGGTCAGGTGTGTGCTGGCTCACTCCACCCAGTACATGGATGTGGGAAGGAAGGGTGTTGTAGCACCCCAATATTTTGGGTATAAAATACCATACATTGCACCACAGAGTATCGAGGGCACCAGAATTAATATTCAGCATTCCCTGGTAAAATTTGGTTCCTGTGGTACTAACCCAGTAACACCCAACAACCTCCCCCATTCATGTCAGGCCAGCCACTGTATGCAGAACATCTCCACTATTACAATAAATCCAATGTCGTAGACTTGAATTTGGTGTAATTCATATTATCAGAATTTCAACTATCTGAACCGTCCAGGTACTGTATCCCCACTGTCCCCCCTTTGGAAAAAATTCTAATTTAGTCCAACAATCCGAAAGCAACTGAAGTCATTTTTTCGTGTCTGACACCAGTAGTGCTATAATCACTTTTTAAACAATAATTCAGCCAGGCAGTAAACCAGCTGACTCAAGACGTGTCTATGCATGTGTGTGTGTCTGCCGTGATGTCACATGGTAGGGAGGGAGGGAGGCGAGTGAGCCAGCCACACAGTACAGCTCACTGCCTTCACATAAGTTACCTCCCACACACACCTATGCTCTTAATTTTGTTATTGTTTTATATTATATTTTCTTTATTTCTAAGCCACATTAGAATACAGTATTTGAATTTTTACTCTTTTGCTCTGTAATAAAGAAAACAGTTTTACTAGGTGGACTATAATATCATTAGTGATATAAGTTACATGTTTATTTACATACTCGGACCTGAATTATACATACAGAATACAATTATTTTTGTTAATTTTTTTATTTTTTTGTATAAGTGACAAAATTACAGAAGTAACTCGTACCTAAGTGCTGCACTGTTTATGTTGCATTTCCCCGCCATCAACTGCATCACCTACCCTGCCTGCATCACCTACCCTGCTTCTGTGTCACCTACCTTGCCTCTGTGTCACCTACCCTGCCTGTGTCACCTACCCTGCCTGTGTCACCTACCTTGCCTCTGTGTCACCTACCCTGCCTCTGTGTCACCTACCCTGCCTCTGTGTCACCTACCTTGCCTTTGTGTCACCTACCTTGCCTCTGTGTTACCTACCCTGCCTCTGTGTCATCTACCCTGCCTCTGTGTCATCTATCCTGCCTCAGTGTCACCTGCCTGCCTGTGTCACCTGCCTGTGTCACTCACCTACCCTGCCTCTGTGTGTCACCATCCTGCCTCAGTGTCACCTACCCTGCCTCAGTGTCACCCACCTGCCTGTGTCACCTATCCTGCCTCAGTGTCACCTACCCTGCCTCTGTGTCACCATGCTTGTGTCACCTACCCCTGCCTCTGTGTCATCTATCCTGCCTCAGTGTCACCTACCCTGCCTGTGTCACCTACCCTGCCTGTGTCACCTATCCTGCCTCAGTGTCACCCCCCTGCCTCTGTGTCACCTACCCTGCCTCTGTGTCACCATGCTTGTGTCACCTACCATGCCTCTGTGTCACCTACCCTGCCTCTGTGTCACCTACCCTGCCTCTGTGTCACCTACCCTGCCTCTGTGTCACCTACCCTGCCTCTGTGTCACCTACCCTGCCTCTGTGTCACCTACCCTGCCTCTTGCCTACTACAAAGTTTCATTCTTCGCCTGCAGTGCTGGTAAGTGTTACCTTTTAATGTAGTAATTAAATGTACACATACTGTATATGGGCCAATAATTTTGTCTTGTTTATTTTTATATGGTGAGCCTCAGTTAGTCAAAATTTGGGATAATTCGGCAAGGTCAAAGCCCCATATGTGCCGAGTTATCAAGGTTTTACTATTATTATGAAAGCAGTATTTAATTTTTAGTTTCATAAAAGCAGAAGAATGCAGTCAACAGAGCCGTAATATGAGGTAACAAATGTTGAAGCACAGTGCCAGGCTGGGAAAATGTGAGATTTGTATAATTCTCAGGTTTGTATCTAAGGAATTTGAGTTAAGTGAACAAAGTCTGTGTTCGACCCAGTGTACTTGATGGGACTAGTTGGTTCATAACCAACCACCCGATCAGGACCGGATCATGCTTCATAACCCTGGTTCAACTGGGTGTTTATAGCACTCAAATTTATGTTGAATGGACAATGTTCCTGCCTTACAATGAAAACAACTCACTAGCCAAAACAAGACCTGCCATGAGGCATTCATAAGGAGCGGATTGGGATTAACTCATGGCTAACTTTAATTGACCCATGGCCCACAAAAATGTGAGGATGGCAAAAAAGTCTCCAAGTTAAATGCCCAACATGGAGAAATTCTGCTTACCATTAGAGTCATCCAATTCATATTTACAGAGCTAATGAGACTCTCTAAGACTGGCAACTGGTGATGTATCATATACAGGTCTCCACTGCTGTCTTCTTCACTCTGTTAATTATATAATGGTCATCAGAGAATGCCTCACTCTACATATTTCTTATCAAATATTCAATAGAAAATGATGATATTTTTTAAAGAGTAATGCAATAATTTTGGATGAACATTACTCTAACAGTATAAAAAAACAATCAACTAAAATTTCAAGGGCAACTAAGCAACTGAGTTCATAACATTCAAGTTTTGCATACGTACATAATTACCATCCTGATTTCTATCAATCACTGAATGTCCAACTTGCACAGTGGTCTTAGTTATATGGAATCTACCAAGACTCTGATAGCAGGGATACTCTTCCCCAAATATGCCATTATATAAACGAAACACATTTTTCTTGTCTTCTATTGTCCTCATGCGGGCAGAGTAGATGAGCCCCACATACTGCCCTGGATTGTAGGAATCCTTGTCTTGATTCTTCACCATAACGTCACACCATCTGTCATGGCCAATGAATTTAAGAGATATGTACAGTTATATAAGTATGTAAAAGCTGTAGACATACTTTTACAAGCAAACCAAAATACTTCATGTATATCCCTCACCAACATGCCAATAACTGCCTACACTTCAAAGAGTCTAGACCATATTTTCACTCTGTGATTCAATCACACTAAATAGAAGCAAAATGTGAGAAATTCGGAATCATAGTAGACATTCTTTATTCCCAGAATTCTCTGTGACTCTTTATGCACCAGGAAAACAAAACACCTAAGACACTGGGGTAGCTAATAACCCTACTGAGTATAAGTTTTCATAGGACCTTAGATTTCCACCTGACCTTAAATTCATGAGGTAAGAGAATCCCCATTGGCACTTCATACCTTTCTTAACATGCATGAGGAGCCATGGAAAAATTATTCCACAATCCTGGAACTGTGACAGTCTGCCTCTCCATGAAGGACTATCTCAATTGCCATATTCTCTATATGTGACAGTGTCTCTTGCTACCCTTCCAATTTTGAGGAAGTTGTGGAGAAAAGGCCATGATAAACATACAAATTATTCAAAATCTGAAGAGCTGACAGGAACTTACAGTTGTGATTCAATTTAAAAAATTTCAACAGAGGTGAAAATTGATGAAGTATGATGAGGTGAGACAAATTCTGGTCATATTTTCTATGGTCAACAAAACTGATATTGTAGTAGTTTTTCCATAAAGGATTCAACAAGGTCATATGATCTCTTTGTTTTGAATGGCAACATCCTCATTATTCAGAAACCCCTTTCTTTTATAACTGAGAAGACCAGATATGGTTTGGAAAATAAAAAAAATATTTGCAGTCCTGCCGCTTAAAAGTCAAACACAATACAGTTTGGGGGAAATCATGGAAATGGGTAATTTAATATAAAAATGGACCAATGCACAGCCTCAATCACAAAACAATGCAGTGAAATGGATGACCCTGAAAAGGGAGTGTCATATTTCAATTATGAGCTAAGATGGTGAATAGATAATGAAAGAAACAAGTTAAAATTCAGCAAAATGATCTAATAATGTAAGATATTTAATTATCCAAATATTTTCATAATAAAAAACCTAAAACACACAACACTGCATGGTGTTAATACTTTACCTGAACATATCGCGCAGGTTTAGCTCCCATGGCCCACCACGAGCACCCCATAGTCCTTGGTCCTGAATTTCTGATGTGATGGCCTGATTGAATTTCACCATCTTTGCCACTATATCATTTGGAAGATCTGTGTACATCATACTCAGAATAAACTCCAAATCAGCAGATGAGAGTGACTCCACATGTACCTTAATGGGAAAATTTTTTTAATCAAGAGATGATAGACAAAAAAAAAAAAAAACACACACACACACACACCTTTTCAAAGTATAAAATATTGTTAATTTATCAATAATTAAAATAAAAGTAACTTGCTATGCATCAAGCAATAATTTTTTTTTAATTAGGAACATGTAAAATTTAATTATTCACGACATGGCAACAATACACAATGTGCAGCTCCCAGAAGTGAACAGATAAACTTCAGGGTAATACTGTAGTACTAAATATACAGTATGGGCACAACAAAGTGATAGTAGAAACATGAATGAATAATAACATGCAAAACAAGAATAATATAGAACATGAAAAAATTTTTGAAGGCTGATGAGAGATTGGAAGGCAGGTGTTAACTAATACTATATAATTATACAGTATAGGAATACTATACCATAGGGGAAGAGTAAATTTGAATTTGAAATATAACAATGGAATATCGGTGGGGCCACACATCTCAAATAAGGAGTCAATATTAAAATATGAAGTGATTATAGAAAGCAAAGACTGCATATTCTATCCTTTTGTACTAAGAGAAAAGAGAATAAGAGTATTTGTTGAGTGAATTAGTCTATATATGGTCCAAATTTTGTAATATAAAATATTTACAAAAAACCCCTTACCTGGGTAAATCTATTCATGAAAGACTTTGGAAGACCTTTCCTGGCACCTCCTTGATACTGCGGATTTTGACAGGCAAATATTTTGGTAGAACGATGCTCCACTTGGAAGGTTTTGCCTAATTCTGGCACAAAAATTTCACCACGGTGATCAAAACATGCATTCAATCCTTCCAAAACTGATTGCGACGCTAAGTTAAGTTCATCCAACACTACCCAGGAGCCCTGACGCAGTGCCTGTAGCAGAGGCCCATCACGCCATGCAAACATGCCACCCTTGCCTCCCTCAACTGGCAGATCTGCACCAAATAGATCACTCACATCTGTCTGTTCAGAAAGATTGATTCGCACAATGTCATTTCCTGAGGCTTTAGCTAAAGCCATCACCAAACTGGTTTTACCCACACCTGGGCTACCTTCTAACAACAATGGCTTTGTCAGCTGTAAACCACAAAGTAACCGCAACAAATTTACACATGTGCGAGGTGCCTTAAAGGTAAACATGTTAGGCTTGCATTTACTCACTGACCCTTTGCTGATCACAAAAGGTCCAACACCAAACATAGCATCAGTGTTTACAAAATCCAAATTATTAATAAATTCTTCCTGAAGTGTTGATGTGTTGGGAATGACACCAGTCTTCTGCCACACTTGCTGACACAGGTATTTGAGACTGGCTTCTCTGAGCTGCTTCCATCCTGCAATACCACTGCCTGTGAGTCCTGATCCTAAACCATCTAAAAGAACAAGACATGCCCCATGGATATAAGCCAAGCCTACATCCATATTGGTTGGGGCTGATGTAACTTTATTGATAAAATACACCCAAGACAACAAGTCCCTGATACTAAGAACACATTTTTTACCAAGGTCTGTCTTTGTAAAATGTTCCAAAAATTGCAACATAGCTTTACCGAGGCCACTTGTGTGCTCTTCTGAATTCAAAACAACTTCTTTTTCAATGTTGTGCTCAATAATGCCAAGTACATCAGATGCTACTCGATTAATTTCAACTTTGGGGCACCAAATTTCTGTGAAACGATTTCTTAGGGCAGGAGAAAGTTCCTTCTTCCCATAGTCTCCACCAGGGTTCATAGTGCCAATAAGCCTGAACTCTTCTTGTGCATAGATGATCTCCAGACTATCTATGTCACCTCCTACATCTGTTCCTTTCTCTGCCAACACCACCATCCTCTCTGGCTCAAGAACAGAATTTAACCTTTCCAGAACACTATCATCAGCAAGAGAGATTTCATCTGCAAGGAACATCCCTCCATCTCTCATTGACATTATGAGAGGGCCATCAACCCACTCAAACAACCTATCATCTTCATCTGCATGAGACCGTACTGGGCGAAGTCCACCAAGAAAATCTGCTCCTTCTGTATGCATGTGACAGTTAACAGTATAAAGTTCTTGTCTGTTCTGAGAAGCTATCATCTGGCATACAGTAGTCTTTCCACAACCAGTCTCCCCAACAAGCAAAACAGGTTCCTTGAAACTAAGTGACTTTGCAACTAAAACATACAAATGCCGCATATCCTGAGTCCAAACTACATGTTCAAAACCTTTTATTATTGACATTTGTTCCAAACAAGACTTTGTAACTGAAGATGTGTCTTCAGACAATGAAAAGAGATTGTCCTTATCCACTTTCTTGTTTAGTCTCTTTTCCAAAACCTGTAATAGAAACATACAAAGGAGTCAGATATATTGTATATTATGGGAGAAAGAAAAAAAGTTTGCATAAATACAAATGACTTTTTCACGACTCTGAGGTAAGGAATTATGTAAATATCCCAAAATAAAGTAATCTCTCCATTTTCTGGAATCTTCAATCACTGGAAGTTTCCAATGTTTTTTTTTTTTTTTATTTCGAGCAATTTCAGAAAAAAATTTCCATTCCGGGTATGCGAATGAATTTCTGAAAGATTGCATCATGCATATTTCCAGAAAATTCTGAGAAAAATCACTCTGCTCCGGGCACTGGAATGAATTACCTAGAGTTCCAAGAGATTGCATCATGCTCCAACGCAGGGACGCATGGGTGGGCTAATAATTTCATGTGACTGCATGGGATGCCTGTTATTGGCTGATGCATCTCTCAGCCTATCTCCTCAAACCTTAGCATCATGACATGCTTAGTTCATAGTCTGCTGTTGTGTTTGCATATGATCTGTATTATCCAGTACTGTACATTACTGTACTAGCACATAATCAGCCAAGAACACTGTTAAAGCAGAGTTACAATGTAAAAAGTTATTACAGTTATGTATACCGTACCATATGTATAGTACAGTACTGTATATAGAAGAGTGGACAGTGTATGCTAGTGTGTAGTAGGTGTATGTACAGTACAGTATATACTGTGTGTACAATCCCTCTTTCATGGATGGAGAGGGGAGTGACAGTTAGCAACACCTGCTACTGGAGATGGTACATCGCATCACCATTTGGCCGCTTGCGTTACAAGTTCAAGACGACAACATCTGCTGGCGAGTACAGTACAGTACAGTGGTCCTCGGTTAACGAATGCCTCGGTTAACGAATTATATTCCATAAGAATATTCAATTCGGTTAACGAACAAAAATTAGGTTAACGAAATTCTTACGAAAATGTTTCGACATGCTTTGGCTTGCTCACCAGCTGGAAGATTAGTCCGCCAATACAGAAATCAGTTCTAGGTCTTACATTCATTAAAATTGGAGTAAATATCAAGAAGGTTATACTATTCAATACTTTTCCAAGTTTTATATTAAATTTTTTTAGTCATTTTAACACATATTTAACATAATTGCAGTACAGGGAACTAGTTTTTGGTGCACCAATCAGCCACTTTACTCACCCACCAAGGCCTCAATGTGTGTCTCTGTTCAGTGGAGGAAGTATCTTGCTTGTGGGTATCTTGAACACAGAGTATTTTTACATTTTTACAGTACAATTATTGGTCATTCTGAAATTTATTTAACATATTGACAATATATAGTGCAGTGCAGTGTTGATTTAAGTGCAGTGCATTGTTGAATTACACCTAGTGAACTTAAAATTTTATGGGTGAAATGACGGCATCAAGCATGGGGTGATTTCTCTTTCACCCCAACTTCCTTCTCTTCTCCCTTCTCCTCCACCCCGACTTCTAATTCCCATCATCATCATCAACCAGGAGCCTTCTACATACACAGCTCAAAGTAAGTGTACTTTACTGCATTTTTTTTACTTTGTATGTAATTTTCGGTGAGCTGGAACCAATTACCCAAAATCCCATTGAAACAATGGTTTCGGTTAACGAAATTTTCGATTAACGAACGACTTCTGGAACGAATTGTGTTCGTTAACTGAGGGACCACTGTATAGTGTATAAAGTCGTATACTGCATTTTGTTTTACAATATATTGTACGTGTACAGTGGTGTTTCCATAAATAAATACAGCTCTGTGTCTGTCCATGGGAGATGCGTAGTTTAAACTCTCAGATAACTTTTCCCATTAACCTGGAAAATCTACAGAGATCTGTGATTTTTTTTCTGGGGATGAGAAAATTCATGTCCATACCCGGAAATCTCTCAAACCTGGAATTGATCTGTTCAAATTTCAGCCTAATGGGGAGATTACTGTATTTGAACTTCAAGAAGGTATATCTATGGATTGAAAGGATTAAACAGTCTTTATATAATGATGGAAAAATATGATTTTCTGAAGTTATTTACTATCACTGTTGGGAAGAATCAAGTACTTACATAAAACAGTTGACAGATAGAAGAGAAAGACAGACAGGCACATTTAGGGATCATGGAGATTCAGGAAATATATAATTACAAGGGTTATTTATCTATATTTTGAGGATTCAACCAAACAAGTTTTTTTCTAAACAAAAACTATATTCTGTTATATAAATCATGAAAGGCAAAAAAGAACTTAAATCAGTGGAAAATTTTTAATATCTGGAAAGAAACATTAGCTGTGATGGTACAGTGCATGGGAAATAGATACAGTATTAATCAACAATAGTTTTAACATAAACAGTATTTAATAATTTTTAAGATCTGTCAATGAAGAAGGAATATTAAAAAAAAATTGTTTACCAAACAGGTTACTAAGGTTTTCAATGATTAGACAACTAAAGTATATACATTATGTTAAAATAAAAGTATGGACACTTTCAACAGATAATGGTAAGTGGCTAAAGGCATTCAAAATGTGGTGCTGCAGGTATTGCTAAAATAAGTTATACTGATACATAAACAAAAGCAGAAGTTCTAAGACAGGTTGAACCAATGACATAAATAATAAAATTTATCTAATAAAAAAATTCAGATACTCAAACCACATAAATAAGAATGAGTGGATAATTTTATGAATATTATCAGGTGGGCCAGGGTTTCCTAGAGATATACAAAATTTGGGATGATTAGTAAATATGGCCAGAAAACCCCATGATGGAACAATGATTAAATGATTAATATGAGAGTGGCTTTGCTATGATAATATTAGAGAAAGCATAAATTTAAAACTTTTACCAATTTCTACTCTACCTTTCTAATTAACTCAGCTTCTTCTTCTGCCCTGACCCTGCCAGCCAAGACAAGGTAACCCTCGTCTGCAAGATGCTGGTCCCAATCATAAAATTTAACTGTCTGCTTGGGTGCAAGACGGTACCGCTCCGCCCACCGGAAGAGATCACGCAGAGTAATGAATGACTGTTTCCCCTGGAAATACAAAAATTCCTGTTAAATATGGAACTTGACAATGAATGGAGATAATAAACATCAACGTTTTTAATTTCTACAACTATATATCTGAATCTGAAAATTTTGCCAAGTTAGTTTAGTATAAAAATGGTTTCATCCAATGTAAAATAAAATCTTCCTCCCAAGTACAACTTTAGTGATCTGCAAATTAATCTTAATAATGTAAATTTCATATTCAACTTTCTGGTGAAGTCTATTCCTTTACAACAGATGTGGCTCAGTATACCAGGTGCCATCTTCTACATTATGGGTAGTATCATGATCTCACGCTCTAATTTCAATGAACACTTCATTCATCTAAACTTAGTTATTATGTAGTACTGATCACAATTATATGGTACACTTCCCTTTACCATACCAGTTTAGGTATATGCTTAACCAGATAAATTTATCTTAGTCTTCACAAAAGCAAGACATTACAGGAGGCCTTGTGTTTTCTACTATGATAAAAGCAAGGTAAATGTTGGCATTTTCATGAAAATTATGTACAGTGCTTAGGTTAGACGAAATTAGGTAAAAAATAGGTTACTGACCTGAAAAAGATTTGATCCTCTTCTCATATTCTGTAGGTCCTGCAAGACTGCAACCATCTTCTTGCTGTATGAAAGGGGCACCTCACATCTTCCATGAAGGATCACTTCAAGTTCAGTAGGAGGGATCTCATTAAAGTGCAATTCCACAAATCGATTACGGAATGCTCGTGACAACACCTATGGACATAAAATTATCATTCAAACACAAATCTGCACATCTGAACTTATCTTAATTTCACAAAAAAGCCTCTAAAGTAATATACAGTAAAATTAAATATTGTACAGTATTTCTAAAAAAAATTCTACCAAGTGGTTGACTCTAATTTTAAGATCATTTTTACCATTTCCAGTTAATTTTAGCAAAAGTTATAAGAAACTTGCTCATTTCTAATGACCTAAAATAATGTGTAATCCCAGTTATTCTCTCTTTAACAAGAGTATGAGATATTTAGAGTGACAAGACTGAACATGCCAAACACAAGTTTTGTGAAAATTAAGCTTAAAGTCTAGAACTTTTAACCACCATACATTCATTGATATTGATGTTTTTGGTTTTACTTTAAGGGTAATTCACTGTAGATTATGATCATTATGAAGAATAAAATATCAATGGCCATAAAAGCCATACAGATTATTATGATAAGCACAAAATAAATACCATTAAGTGATTCTTAACTGGTTTTTTTAATAAAGTAGTGTATGTATTATTGTGCATAGGTGTAATGGCAAGTCTAACTAATATTGTTGTCCATCACTATCAGAAGAACTCATAATAAAGATGATAAATATATGAATTTGGGTAGGAATAGAACACCTACATAAAAAAAAAATTATATATATATATATATATATATATATATATATATATATATATATATATATATATATATATATATATATATATATATATATATATATATATATATATATATATATATATATTTGTTTTTGTAGTATTATGTTAAAACAAACACTATAAGTCAACAGCTAAATTTAAGGATGTGAATGGGTCTGTTTACTGCTGGGAAGAGGGGAGGGAGGGGGAGGGAGGAGGGAGGGATAGGAGGGAGGAGAGGAGGGAGGAGGAGGGAGGGAGGGTGGAGGGAGGGAGGGAGGGAGGGAGGGAGGAGGAGGGAGGGAGGAGGGAGGGGGGGGAGGTGAGGTGATATGCTTGACAGTTGATGCCAAGGTCTAGTGCTTATTTATTTATCTGTCCTTATGAGTGACTAAGTTTTTCTCTTATAAAATGTCTAACTGACTTGAGAGAATATAATTAACATTGCTGGAATTCTTATAAGATAGTGATTAATTTGAACATAAACATGCTGTAGCTCGCATTAGACATACAAATTTTAGTTCTAATTTAAGAATTTTAGTACAAAGAGCAAAAAATTTTATCTCTTGTGCAAAATATATGACATTTATATTCAAATTATTTGCTGTCTTGCAAGCATTCCAGTAATACAAATTTCATTCTCCTAACTTTAGTCTGAGACATTATATAAGATAAAAACTGTAAGCCTAAAACCCTGGCTGGGCAGATGGGGGAGAGGGAGGGGAGGTGATATGTTTGACAGTTGGCGCCGAAGGTCTAATGTGTGATTATTTATCAGTCCTTAAGAGTGACTAAGCTTTTCTCTTATAAAATGCCACTGAAACGACCTAGGAGAATATAATTTACATTGCTGGGATTCCTGTAAGATAGTGATTAATTTGAATATAAACAAGCTATAATTTGCACTAGACATTCAAATTTTAGTACCATAATCACTTAGTACATGTACAGTACAGGTTTGCACTCAGGTCATTTATTTCTTTTATGTTTCTTTTAGTATGGTGTGTGAACGTAAATTAATAAAAACGAAGAAATTTATGTAAATCTACCCAAAAATACAGTTGAAAAACTTGTACATTATTAAAATACACTACACTAATGTACTAAATTTTTTATATCTTGTGCAAAATGTATGACATTTATATTCAAATTATTCACTGTCTTGCAAGGATTCCAGCAATGCATATTATATTCTCCTAACTTTAGTCTGTGATATTACATAAGATAAAAACTGTAAGCCTACAACACCACACCCTGGCTGGGAAGATGGGAGGGAGGGAGGGAGGGTGGTGACAGTGACATGTTTGACAGTTAGGTGGAAGGTCTAGTGAACTATTTATTTGTTTATGTCCTTTTGCTTGAGTTTTTGTTTTTTGCTTATAAAATGTCACAGATGTGACTGAGGAGAATATAATTTAAATTGCTGGAATTCTTATAAGATAGTGATTAATTTGAATATAAACATGCTATAGTTTGCACTAGACAAAAATTTTAGCAATCATTTAGTACATTATTATGAGTACATGTACAGTACAGCTTTGCCCTTAGGACAGTGTAGCGTGCCCAGAGAAACATTAGGTGCAAAATTTTAAATATGATGAGCCAGATTGACTTGTGCAAAAGAGGAAAGATCCGCTTTAAATTGAAACATTGTCCTTAATTGTGGGTGTCGCTTTAAATCAATAATCTTATATCAATAATCATATATCGATTCACATTAAATCGACGTTCTACTGTATTTATATAGTAAATGCAGCTTTTAAGATTAGGATCAGAATGTACAGACCTTTCGTCCACCATACAATCCTGGAGGATTCTGGGTAGCAAAAAGCATAAAGCGTTGGTGAGCACGAACTGTTTCTTGCGTTTCAGGAATAAACAGTTCACGATTATCATCAAGGAGACGATTGAGGGCCTCCAACACATCAGATGGGGCCAAATTTAGTTCATCTAAAATAATCCAATGGCCCTTACGCATTGCCTTTACAAGCGCACCTGAAAAAAAGAGGAAAAAACATGGTGTAAAATCAAAATAATAAATAAGGCTTTTTTAACTCTTTTGCCTCGGGTGTCACGTATACGTGCTACCGAGTTTTCCCATCGACAACGGGTGTCACGTAAATGTAATCTGGCGTTTAAATTGCCTGCGCCCATCTGGTGCTACAGAAAGTGGTTTCTCGTAGCTGATAATGAGTGTTGCCAATTGTATGGGTTGTTTTTGTTTCCATAAACCATACAGAAACGTCAGTATGTTTCATGATGTGACAGAGCAGGACGAGATTTGGCCGCTGCAGCGGAATTGTTGGGGCAAGATAATTATCCCGGTACTTTCTTGATCTAATGGATAGTATTGATACTGATTCAGATGCTCTCTCTGGTGATAGTGAAAGTGTATGAGAGGATCTTTTGAAAAAAAAAAGGGTAGGGAGCATGATATCAAGTAATACTGATGATTATGATCCCCAGCCTGGACTAAGTTCTAAAAGGAAACTGCGTGGTAAGCAAAGTTCCTCCTTGGGTAGAAAGAAAAAAAATCTAACAGTAGCACGGAGCATTCACAAAGAAAGAGAGGTTGTTCAATCAGATAGTCAGGGAGATGGTCAGTCCTTTGATAGTAGTCGGCGGGTGGTACAAGGAGCTGTTTGGCAACCCCCTACATTGTCTACACCTACACTCAGTGGGTCTGTGATGAATCTCCATTTATACTTTGTTTTTCCATTTGATGCAAGTAACTCTGGATTGACTGATGTATCAGTGTGACAGATGAGTCAAATGAGCTAAATTATTTACTCATGAATCTGGATGAGGAACTTACAGACATAATAGTGCGAGAATCTAACCACTATTACCTTCAGATGATAAAACCTGAGCCAGATTTTTTAGGAAGTGGGCATCAAGTTACTTGGAAACCAGTTACCAGAGATGACATCTACATGGTTTTGTGTTTACTGATGCTTATGAGTCATGTAAAACACACACAGAATCAATGACTTTTGGACAGTGGATGAGGTGTTTGAGACACCAATATTCTCCAAAATCATGTCCCGTGACAGGTTTTTACAAACATCCCGGTGCCTGCATTTCACAGATAACAACCAAATTGACAAAAATGATACGCTATGCAAAGTAAGGCCAGTTCTTCATCACATGCATAGGAAGTATAGGAAAATTTACTCCATACCAAGACCTTTGCATTGATGAAAGTTTATTGCTGTGGCATGGTAGACTAGGCTTCCAGCAGTACATACCATCAAAATGGCAAGGTATGGAGTAAAACTGTTTGTATTATGTGATGTAAAAACTGATGACATTCTTGACTTCATTGTGTACACAGGGGCAACTACTGCCATAGAACGAGATGAGAACCTGGGTATTTCTGGCTCTGTGGTCAAAACACTCATGAAAGATTACATGCAGAAATCACATATACAGTTCCTCCCCGACTGACGACCTATTCAACTTACGACCACCCGGACATACAACCGCCTCAGTCGTACCAAAATTTTGTCAAATTACGTATTTTCGAGTCCCAACGTCAGTGATTGCGCTGTGTACTGACAAAAAATTGTTGTAATTCACTTTAAAATGGCTGGCAAGCTTAAAGGTGAGAGTTTTGTGGTGCTGAAAAGAAAAAGAGACACCCATTTTAGATTTTCTATGTATTATTTAAGCATTTTCGACTTACAACCTGGATTTGGGTCCCTAACCCCGTCATAAGTAGGGGAGGAGCTGTACTATATTGTGATAATTGGTGCAGTAGCCCCACTTTGTTTCAGTACCTAAATGAAGGAAAAACAGGTGCATGTGGAATAGTATGTGCCAACCGGAAGGATATGCATCACTTCCTAATGTGAAGCCTGGCGAAATGGTAGCTTGTCACTGTAATCAAATTGGCTGTGTAAAGTAGAAGGATAACAAAGCTGTGCATTTGTTGACTCCTGTCCGTCCTTGTCATATGATTCATACAAAAAAGAGAGGTCGTGATGATGAGATCATCCAAAAACCTGCCCCTGTAGTAGATTTTAATAAAAAAAATGAGAATAGTAAACAAAAATGACATGCTTCTGTCTTCCATAGAGTGTGTACGCAAAACTGTAAGATGGTACTTAAAGTTATTCAAACACATTGTAGATACAGTGGTCCCTCGGTTAACGAATTCAATTCGTTCCAGAGGGTCGTTCGTTAACCAAAAATTTCGCTAACCGAATCCATTGATTCAATGGGATTTTGGGTAATTGGTTCCAGCTCACCGAAAATTAGATACAAAGTAAAAACAAAATGCAATAAAGTACACTTACTTTGAGGAGTGTATGTAGAAGGCTCCTGGTTGATGATGATGGGAATTAGAAGTAGAGGTGGAGGAGGAGAAGGGAGAAGAGAAGGAAGTGTGGGGTGGAGGAGAAATCACCTTTCAGGGGACCCATGCTTGATGCCGTCATTTCACCAATAAAATTTTAAGTTCACTAGGTGTAATTCAAGATTATTTTCTTTAAATCAACACTGCACTGCAATATATATATATATATATATATATATATATATATATATATATATATATATATATATATATATATATATATATATATATATATATATATATATATATATATATATATATATATATATATATATATATATATATATATATATATATATATATATATATATATATATATATATATATATATAGTCAATATGTTAAATAAATTTCAGAATGACCAATAATTGTACTGTAAAAACATAAAAATACTTTTTGACACAGTTCAATTTTCCCATCTATTTCTTAATGCAGCCCAAAATGAAATGTTATGTTTGCTCTATGTTCTAGCCATCTTGCAATATAGTGGGTGAGAGCTTGAAAAGCCAGAAAATGAAATTATTGGACAAACTCAAAATATGTAAAACTTTTAAATACAATAAACTAATCAGAAGCTCTCAAGAAAAAAATTACCTTCTTTGAAAACTAGCTTGCCAGTTTCATTAGGTGCATAACATCCGACATATTCCTGGAGGTCAGTATGTTCGTGGTTGTTGATGCGCACACACAAATTTCCAGCGAGGCGTGCAAGATACATTATGAGCGACGTCTTTCCCACAGAAGTTTCACCTTGCAGCAACACGGGGAACTGACCAATGCTCACAACTCGCACAAGATCTTCAAGGTTCTTTCTCACTGTTTGAGTGATAATATACTGTTGGGATAGAAATTATTCAATAAATGTAAAGACAACTCAGTATTGTGTCATTGAGGACAAATAATGACAAGAGAAAATAAACTTAATCTATAACAAAATAATTTAAACATGACCCACATCACATCTCAACATTCCAGTCAGCTGCCTGTACAGTAAAGCCTCCGAGAATGACGGTTCAACTAATGAAGATTCATATCCAAGACCCTGGTTAATTTAGGACCAAATTCAATTAATGCCATTATTTTCTTCATATTTACGACAAAATTAAAAAACTAATTAAATTTTTGTAGAAATATAATAACTAAATCCCAATATTATACAGGTTGTACCTCTCTAGTCCGGCATTCTGTGGTCCGAAAACTCCCGCGGTCCAGAACGATTTCAGTTTGCCCAATAGGTAGATAGGCAGCTATTTTTTTTTTAACTTATCTGAATTATTATTATTACAGGAGTATTACATTTTCGCCCCTCAGGCTCCAATGTGGGTCAGTGACCTGTACCTGGGTGGGCTAATCCCCGTAAAAAACAAAACAACAAAGCCGCGAGAAATTAAGGTTTGTTTACATCCGGCAGCTCTCTCTCTCTCTCTCTCTCTGATTGTCTATACAGAGTACAACATTTAACCCTTCAATATATATGAACAGTAAGTAAGTGTTGCTTTCATATTCTTATGTAGAGTAATGACGATATGTTTTCACAAGTGCACACTTACATACGCGATCTCACTTTTTTTTCTTTAACATTAAAGGTTAGCTACTTATATTGTTTCATTTATTAACACTAAATAACATTACTTCAAATAACCATATTAATTTTTACATTAATTTTACTACAGCTACAACCAGGGTCTTATTTTCTTGTTATATATGTAGAACCAATCAGTCACTGGTTTTGTAAACATTAACGAAAACAATGCCGGCAGCCGTTTCGTCTCCTCGTGTGTTTTAATATTCCACGAATTATTAATGAATTATATTGTTCATTTTGCACACACAAACATTAATTCAATAAAAAAACAGAAACACTTGAATAAAGACGAAAGCTAAGGTACTCCGTTGTTTCCATTTTCCCGTGTGATTTTATCAAGATTTATCCTATCCACGTTTTCATTGTGGATTTACAAGAAATATGAACAGTAAATAAGTGTTGCATTCATATTCTTATGTAGAGTAATGACGATATGTTTTTCACATGTGCGCACTTACATACGCGCAGTCTCACTTTGTTTCTTTAACATTAATGGTTTGCCACTTTTATTGTTCTATTTATTAACATTAAATAACATTACTTAAAACAACCATATTAATTTTTTACATTAATTTTACTACAGCTACAACCAGGGTCTTATTTTCTTGTTTTATATGTAGAACCACTCAGTCACTGGTTTTGTTATCAACGAAAACAATGCTGTCTCATTTCCTCGTGTGTTTTAATATTCTACGTATTATTAATGGATTGTATTGCTCATTTTGCACACAAACATTAATTCAATAAAAAAGACATTCAGTAATAAACAATAATGAATCTATTGTACATAAGAGAAATGACGCAGTTTACACGATTGTGCACGTCGTCTGAACGTTGGCAAGCCGTTAAAACCCGTCGAAATTCGAGTTTCCGCCGTCAAAATTTTAATTTGTAGTTTTTTTTGTGTCCAAATAAAAAACGGTGAATTAAAAACTCGTGAAATTTCAGAAGCTACTGTACAACATTTAACCCTTCAATATGTCTTCAAAGAGACCACGAAGCAGTGAAAGTGGTGCTAACTTAAGCGCAAGTCACTATCTGTCCAGGAAAAGGGTGAATTTCCATGGTCCGGCATCGGTCACGTACCGAGGTTGCCATACTAGAGAGGTACAATATATATATATATATATATATATATATATATATATATATATATATATATATATATATATATATATATATATATATATATATATATATATATATATATATATATATATATATATATATATATATATATATATATATATATATATATATATATATATATATATATATATATATATATATATATATATATATATATATATATATATATATATGTATATATATATATATATATATATATATATATATATATATATATATATGTATATATATGTATGTATATTTGTATATTGTATGTGGGGGCAGTGAAATTTGCTCAAGCTGCACTGTTGCATGCGAGTATGGTGCTGCGTCTATTGATTATCAGCCTTTCATTTCATTTCTCAATGCTGTTACTTGCACTGTAAATGTAGAGACCTGTGTTGCCACTGTTCATTCAAATAGTCATCAAGCAGCAGTTCACAATCGCATACTTTGATTAGTGATTATGCTGGAGCTGCCATTGCTACTGCTACCTTAGCCGATTTGGTACATTATCGTCACAAAGGATGACAAGAAATAAGTTATTGACCACATAAGCTGCAGGATGCAGAGAAAAATAATTTGTACGGCAGGCAAGAAATTGATGGCTAGTTTAGATAATTTGACGCCACTCTATTTTGATGGTGCGGAAGACCGCCACTGTGGGATGATAAAGAATGAGAAGACCGAGAAATGGAGTTCGGAGGATGATGGTGAAAGATCATTATGTCATCATGGTTGAGCCTGGCAATGAATATTCACACATGTGACTCTAAGACTGACACGGAAAGCAGATTGCCAAAACTATTCACGAAGTTTTGTGGAGAAAATTCCAACCCAGCAGCCTATTGTGTGTGTTGGTTAGGAGTGGAAAACCAATGTAAATGTAGGATCAGAAATGGAGTCGTTGGTCATCTTGAAATGTTATTTGGTCACTCCGGCTTCCATTATTTCTGTTATGTCAGCTTACGGAAATGAGCTGCCTTTCGCCGCAGTTTTTATCACTATGATGGTAAAACCAAGTGGTCCTGAGCATTGGCGTGGGTCCCATTGGAAAGCAGATCAAGGAGTCTTTTGTCTGAGCTTCCAGTTATGTCGCCCAGCCAGTCATAACAAGTTTCCCCCTAGATTTCCCTGTGTTTAATGATGAAGCGGAGAAAGATCTGTCCTTGGGATCAGAAATACTGTATAGGATTTGTAAAGGAGTTATCACAGGTGTTGTTGAAGATGACTTGGCTGCTATTGAGCCAGTCCTCCCTTGTGTGGCCGAAGGTGAACACCTATGGAGTAGAACTTTCAGGTTGTATGTAGCAAACATCAGCACCCAAGCCATGAGTTAAAAAGAATTTGTCATTACAAATAATAAAGTTCAGTGCTCAAATGTGGTTTTTACATCAAGTATACACCCTTACGTGAACACACGGCTCAAGGAACGATTCCAGCGTCCCTGCTAAAAATGAAACACCTGAATAGTGAGGAGGAGACGGAAGAAGAAGGCTGTCCAGAGAAATGCATATTTCTGCCCCTACACAGATCAACTTTCTTGGCGTGCAGATGAGGATGACTGTTAGAGAAAAAAAAAGCTGTCTCAATGATAAGAAAAATTAGAGGAGAATCAGCAAAAGGAAGAATGCACCGGCAGATCTGAAGAGGAGGAGGAAGATTCTGATGCTGCTGCTGACTTGTAGAATTTGTTAAACCACTGTATACTGATGAGGGAGGCAAAGATGGAGATGTGAATGAGGATGTGCCTCCTGTAGTCAATATATAAAAGGTGGTGACCTGAAACCAAAGTGGCATTCCATGATTAACTGGAGAGGAATGAACTCAAGACTGAGCCTTACATTGCTTCTTCGTCAAATCTACAGGTTAATGATATTCTTGAGACACGATGTTAGTGGTGCCTAAGTACAAACAGCACTCAGGCGGTCCAGAGAGGTATAAAAGCGGACACTGAAGCTTGCACTGAAGTGACGGATACTTAATCGAGAGATGGATATATTAGGTAAAGATTATTGTCTAGAAAATGATGCCAAGGTTCCGCATAAAAAGAATTTCAATATGAACTGTAATGATTTTCTATAATGTACCTGTAAAATAACATGAATTAAATCGATGTCACCCATGTAAAATGTATCAATATCCTGGGAAAACATTAAATGACACCTAATTTTTTGGTATACACTAAAAGCTGACAAAGTCAAGTCATGACGCGGCAGGGTAAGTATGCAGAAATGGCATTAAATTTTGCACAGGTGTTTGTTACAGCCATACAAACGATGCTCAGTGCGGTAGCCTGCAACTCAAATAAAAAGTGTTTTTCCCTTGCCCCCTCAATGTATATATATATGTATATATATATATATATATATGTATGTATATATATATGTATATATGTATGTATATATATATATATATATATATATATATATATATATATATATATATATGTATATATATGTATATATATGTATACAGTAGCACTTGCTTAACGCTATTTCACTTAACGCCGCCAGATATATTTATGTGCTCTTGCCAGTTTTCGAACTTTTCACTTAACGCGCATTTTTCATCATCATATACGGAGTGTCCTGCCTCGAGAGCTATTTTAGATTCTCGCACTCACCCCTCACCCGCCACCCTGCCTGACTGCCTGTTTTAGCTCATAAAATTCATACAATTATTTAGCTAG